TGCTTGCGCAGGCGACCTATGGTGTTGTTTTTTAGGGGAAGACCTTCTCCACAAGGGCCCAAAACAGCAAAAAACAAATTCTCGTTCAAAAGAATGACCAATTAAAAAGCTGCTTCTGCCTTTCTACATTTTCTACAGTTTCAGCAACAAATGAGGCTCATTAGGGAGCAAGGCAAGAGATTATTGTAATTTTCTTTTCAATTTGTCTCAACACTTACTTAGGAGGTTATTTGAGCATTCAGTCACAGCTGGGGTAAAACCAGAGTATTTTATCATTATTGCAATTTTGCCAAAATGGCCATATTTAACACTTTGTATATTATAGAATTATTATAGAATATTAAAACAATAAATCCTCAACCGTCCTACTTTTTATGGAAATGTATTCAAATGAGGAAGACACAGTTGTGAATCTGCATAGGTGTGAAATGATTTGGATGTTTGAATAATGCATCCTCGAGGACAGACAGCCTCTCTCTCTTTTGACTGGGAGCATGTGTGATGACTTTGTAAAATCTGTTTCTCGTCAGAATCTTCTCAGGGATAATTCACCGTCATTACCAAATCTGTTTTTACTCATTTAAGAAGTAAAAACAGATGAGAAACCCATTAGATCCGGTTCCCGCCTGGCTATGAATTATACATAATTTCACTGAAAGGACTGTTTTAGAGGATTCTATGGTCCATTACTGCACATTTATCTGCCGCCTCTGTGCTCCAGTGGTCCAGAAAAAGACCAAGTCCAGATAGTTTAGAGGCACAGAGAACATTTTCTGTTGTCAAGTGTTGTTTATTCACAGAAGGAGCGCAATGATTACTTCTGTCTGGTCTTGCTGTGGCTTCACTGACTTCCTCTGCCTCTCAATTATAGGCCGGGGAGGATTTGTTGTAAACGTTTTATTTGTTGTCTGTTTACTGACTTGAAAGGAGACAATTTCCTTATTTTGCATAGTATAAAAAGAGCTTTCATTTTCTAATCAGAGTTGTATTGCCAGATGAGAAACCAGATCTGTATCGTCTTTATGAATACTTTTCAGATGATTGCTGCTGTCATAAAAATACATTTTACACTTTGTAAAGTATTAATGTGTGTTTAATGTGTTTAATTTCCTCAGTAAATATCCATTTTGTAACTCAGTGTTGTCAATTAATATAACACAATAGGCATTCATGCTCATAAAAGTGTTTGAAATTTTGATGAAATACCTGCTTGTGGGTGGCCCTTTTCAAGGAAACATCATCTTGTGCACAGGCAACTCTAGCTCCCAGAAATTACATTAATAATAATATTATACGACTCATTTGCAACAGCAAAAATGTTTTTGCAAAAATTTAATGCAGCCTTAATTACATTTTAATAAATTTATTTTAATATATTTTTTTTGCAGAACAAATCTTCAGTGTTCACTATCAACATATCTTTCATTTGTTTAGAATTTTTAAACTGTTTATGGTTAAGTTTTGGTACCTCACAGCATTTTGTTAAGGTGAGGGAGAGATTGTGGTCTGGGATTAATACTGAAAAGGTTAACAGGTACTACTAAATGTGTTTATTTAACTGGCATTTAAACTTTTCCTAACCTTAACCAAAATGCTTTTGTTGCCGAAACGTAACCATTTCCTTCAAAATGTCAAATAAATAAACACAAGTTTTAAATTTAACCTGGAGAAATCATCTGTATTTACATAATATCCCAAGAATTTATGTGATTATGTGTAAATTTCCACTTAAACTGTTATTTTACTTATTTATAAACCAGGTCTCAGAAATCAAAATGATGAAGCCTGCAAAGAAATATAATCAATATAATATAATCAAAATATAATGACAGTGAATGAGCAGCGGGACGAAACCTCAAGGGCGGCGAATAAATTAAAGCAGAAAAATCAATAAAACACTTCTTTCAATTAATTTCCTTGAGGTAAAGCCAATTCACCTCCATACAGCATGATGTACATAGGAGGGCGTCCGACTTATAACACACAGGCGAAACACAAGCCATCATGTGCAGCCACGAGTTGCTACCTGCAGATAGTCTCAAAGTCAATAAGGGGGTGTAGGAAATTACCTCCAGTTCCATCGCAGCCTTCAGTGTATGGCGACGGCTTTTACTGCGTCTCGAGGTGTCTCGTCGGTCCCCCTGCAAATAAAGCCTGAAATAACAAACACACTAAGCCGTCAGTGGTAAAGTTAATCAGAATTTAATGAACTAACTGTCATCTCTGGTTGTTAAGAGGATTTGGGATTATTGAGGCGAGCGCTAGAACAGAACAGCAGTAATTTACCGCAGCTGTAGACTGACAGTTTGGGTTTAATAATGTGAAGGCCAGTGGGTGTGATTTGTCATTGTCACTTTAAGGGTCCAGATTAATTAAATAACATTACAGCAGGGAGATGTCTAAGTAGCCAGAGAGTTAGATGAGAGGACTGATACCACTATAACATATGTCATTTAAATGTAAGGCTACAGCCAGCAGCACCTCTCAAACGAATAATCATCTTATATTACTATTGTTGAAGTACGACCTGGCATCTGCTTAGAGCCGAGAGTTTTTTGGCGCATTAATCAAATGAGAAACAATATGTTAATTGGTGAGCTTTTGAGGTACAGGTGGGCACATTTTGTCACCTTTTGATAGCAGCAGATGAGCTATTTCACCTGGTTTCCTGTCTTCATGCTATGCTAAGTTAACCAGCTGATGCTTGTAGCTCATATAGTTCATATTTATTGGACAGATAGGGGAGTGATATCAATTTTCTCTCCTAAATATCACTTAAATGTCAGTTTGAATATTTTAAGCTCAAAATGATTGAGTGAAAATAGGACTGAAGTTGCTTTCACAGGCAGAATCGTCTAATTCCTGGGTAGGTTCATTATACCTTCATTATCGGGGTTGATTAGCTCTTTACTATGTAATGCCACTCTGTGGAGCTCTATTATAGCTCTTAGGCATATTGACCTCATTGGGGGACCCAGCAGTAGATATCATTCTCACATTTCACACTATAAAAAAACAAAACAAAAGCAGCTTGATTAAAAAGAAATGCTTTCACTCTGACCTGTCAAACATCAAGATGTGGCCTCAAGCTGCAGGCTGAACTTTTTCACTGCACTTTCATCCATAAATACATAATAACAGTACTTTCACAACATTTTTCACTTGACCAGAAACATGTGTTCATCATAAGGAATAAGTGGATTCTGATTGTTATTTCTTAAATACTTCACAGTTGGGTCTTTGGGTTGCGATGTCCAAGATAAATCACTCTAGATCTTTTTTTGATGTGATCCAGCTTCACCCTCAGCAAACTCTAAACACCGTATATTTCTTTTCCGACAAGAGCTCTAAACAGTCGATCCATTTCGATCGTCTGTATTCCATCCTCTTCTCTCTTTGCTAATGGATCCACCATTTTTCTTCTGTGGTCTATAAAAACTCCACTATCCTCCATACTCTTTGAACTACCGCTTATGCTTTGCTCAGTTTTCCACCGTATTAATTGGAAAGACAGTTTTTGTGATGGACCATCCATGACATCCTTCAATGACCCTTCATTCAGATGATGAAAAGCTGCAGCATCTTTACCTGAGGTTAAATGTGTTTGTCCTTTAGGTAAATATGGTGGAAAAAATGAATTTTTTACTAACTGAGTCTTTTTAGTCATTCTCAAACAACATCTTTTATTGGAAGCCATGTTGTGTCCCTTCATGTTTCAAGGTTTAAAGAAGCTGTGCCAAAGCCTGAATTGTTAACAGGCTGTTAGGAAACTTGTACAAAGTGAAATACACAAAACCTCAAATAGCTCAGCTGTAAGAACTTACTGAAAGAAATTTTGGAATGGATTATGTTTCATCAAACATTTATGCAAGTAAATGTTGTGGAGAAATTTGCACTATATGCTCTGCAAACAGCCGCAGGAAAATCGTTCCTTTGTGGTATCTGTTCGAACTTTTAGGAGTATGGGGTTTCCCCCTGTGGGCAGCTCCTTAAACTGGAGCCATTACCACTGATTAAACAAGGAGTTTTCTATTACAAAATGTGCTGCTAGCTGACACAGGGAACCTGAATTATTCACTAAACATCCCAGGATGCTCTGCCCAGCTCATGTAGCACCTACTGCTGTGATTGTACCTTTACAGGGGAAGAATGTCAGCTATAAATTTAAACTTACTGCTACTTTCTGGATCATTTCCTGATTGCTGTATGATAAGTACTACCTCAGTGGTTTAGAGACTAAAAGGCAGTGTTATTTTACGACTTACTTTTGCACCATCATGCCCTACGTGTGTTTATAAATATGAATATTTATTGACTGATATTTGCAAAGAGTGCAGCAGGCATCTTTTGGAGTTTGAGTTTTTTTTCTTAGAAAGATACAGACTGATTTAAATCAGAGAGGAGGTCTCTATCTAATAAATTATAATAAGTAAAGATAGGAATGAATTTGTTTTGCAGTGTTCATTGCCTTAACACATGTACATAACCTAACTAACTGTTCATTTAAATGCGCTTTAATGTCCATATTGACATTTTCATGAGCTGAGAGCAGCCCTATTCTCAGCTCAGTGACAATGTATTTTTTATATAATGCTGTGGGTTTTTAAATGGTTTAATTATCTTTAAGAAATAGGAGAATTTTTCAACCCATAAAGGAAAACCTAATCCCTCAGTTTTTCTGCACAATTCAGCGACAGCAATGGTATGAAAATCCCATTATGTGGTAAGAAAGCAAGGAAGATGGTTTTAAAATGCCATTCCATTCAAGCATATATTTTCCAGGAAGTGGTGTCTCTCTTCACATAACCCCATGTCTGGAATCAGAGGAGACGCAAATATTTCTCTACATGAGAACTAATGGAAGACTTTCATTTGAAGATGTCATAAAACATTTCAAATTCACTGAATGAACTGAATCCACATTTTTCTCCTCTCTTACCTTCCGCTTCTTTTTTTATCATGAATCTGTGTCTCATAATAAATCCGTGCCCTCTGTGCAGATACACTAAGATGAAGACAGCCACCAACATCTACATCTTTAACCTTGCTCTGGCCGACTCCTTGGTCACCAGCACGCTACCGTTCCAAAGCGTCAACTACCTGATGGGGACCTGGCCGTTTGGGGACATCCTGTGCAAGATGGTGATGTCCATCGACTACTACAACATGTTCACCTCTATCTTCACGCTCACCACCATGAGCATCGACCGCTATGTCGCTGTGTGCCACCCAGTCAAAGCGCTGGACTTCAGGACGCCCCGCAATGCCAAGATCGTCAACGTCTGCAACTGGATTCTCTCCTCGGCCATCGGGCTGCCTGTTATGTTCATGGCCTCCACCGCTGTCACACGTAAGTATGAACACACATCATTATTTCTGATAACTGCTGAGGGCAACTTTCAACAAACATACTGTATATCCTTTATGATGACAACAATAAATAAATAAGTTTAGCTCTCCTTGAAATATCCATGAAGCAAATGACAAACTGAAAAAACTGAAGGCTCATTCAGTGGGCTCATTTCTTTCTTAGTCCTTGGTAGACGATGAGTTCAACAATGGCGCAGCAACAAATACAAACACAAAACCTGAAGAAAACACATTCAGTTAATTTTGTGCATCCCAGATTTAAAGGGCAGTTATATACTCCGGCAGGCTCCGTAAGAAGGACACAACCCATAAGAGTTTTTCTATGTAACTGCAAAGACATCTAATGCTATATGCCTGGCTGATAACTACCATAACTGCACAGTAAATGAAGAGCCTTCAAAGACAGGCTCCTCTAACAGGGTGTCTCTGTTTAATGGTAGCTGTAATGGAGGAAAAACTGCCACCGATATTGCTGAAGTGTGATTACACTGTTTGGAGGAGAGAGAATAATGAGAGATTTACTGACACCGGGAAGTTGGCACTGTGAGGGAGCCATGGTGCTTAAAGATGTTGCTGCTTCAGCTCTTCAAAACTTTCAGTAAATTGTTTACTTCAGTTGATTTCTGTACAGTTAGTTCAAAACATTTACGGTGAGACAGCATAAGAAACACAGAGGTCTCTAGTCAAAGGGCTACATGTCAGATGCATTAGTCAAAAGTAAAAGGAAATTCTGATACATATACATACACACCAATATCCAACAGTAACACAGACAGCACATTTACACATAGACAAAAATTCATTATCACAGTTGATGGGATTTAAATATACACAGCCCCAGATGGCGTAAACATAGGCTGCATGAAGACACCAGTTACATTTATAATAAGTACCCTTTTGTGCACTAGTGGCAGTGACATAACACTGGAGTCTTGGGAGGCATTTCATACCGTTATTAGAGATTTGAGCACTAAAGAGATGACAGGAAATGAGGGGTGCGAGAGACGGGGAGTGACAGGCAAACAAATGGGCAGAGCTGAAACTGGGAATATTGCAGTTCATGGTCGGTATCTGTAGCTCAAGGCAACCAGGCCAACAAATGAGTCACAGAAGAAAATTAGCAGCTAGCTGGTGAAAAGACTGGACACATATTTCTCTCAGGAGTTGTTGGAGAGCTTGCAAGGAGAGTGAATATTGCTCTAACACTCATCAGTTTCACACAAATACTGAAGGAAAGAAATCAAGGAAAATTTGACTGATTGACAGCAATGAAAATATATAGACTATTACCTCATTACCCTAAATACTATTACTGTACAAGACTGCAATTGGTTGCTTTGTGTACAAGCAGATTAGACAAACACATCTCAGAGGAATGAAGCATTGATGTTCAAACATCGCCAGTCAAAAGAAAATAGAGTGAATAAAAATGAAATTGCTTGTGTGCATTTAACGGCTGTTTGTGTCTCTGTTTACCTGTTTACATGCGTGGCTGTTTACCCTGCACAGCCTCCAGTATAGTTGACTGCAAGCTGATTTTCCCCCACCCCTCCTGGTACTGGGACACCCTGCTGAAGATCTGCGTGTTCATCTTTGCCTTCATCATGCCCGTCCTCATCATCACCGTCTGCTACGGCCTCATGATCCTGCGGCTCAAGAGTGTGCGCATGCTGTCAGGCTCCCAGGTTAAGAGAAATCTCTCTTAAGAAATCTCTTTTACAAACATGAGCCAAAATTACTACATATAGTGGGTTATTTCCTACATTTGATGCCAAAGGCTTTTAATTAGATGCAAATGGGAATTTTGGAACACAAGCATGAGTATGCAAACACGATGCACTCATGTCTCTGGAGAGAAAGCAATTAGGAAAAAAATCACCTTAAGCCTGAGGTTGTGGCTCGGTTTTAATTATTTGCAGTAGAAGGTGAAATGACCCAACAGCAATACTTAACATTCAGTATCTGAGAAAATTTGCCAAACACTTGCTGCCACACATGTGCTCATTCTAATGCAGATATATACACACAGTACATACAAACGGAAAACCAAGTGGTTGTATATTTTCACCCACCACCGCACTTTTCTTAACCACTTTTCTTCAATTCTCATCATCTTTCTGCCTCTTGATTCGCTTCCCTTAACCTCTCCTCTCATCCCCCCTCAATTCATCCTCTCTCCACCTTTCTCTCATCCTCCCTTACACATTCTCTAATTTTCCTTTTCCACCTCCCCCACCTCCACTTTTCTTTCCCTCTCTTATTCCCAGCTCTCCTTTCTCCTACTTCAAACATCATTATCTACCTCGCCCTCTCCTGCTTTTCTCTTTCTACTTCTTCCTCGGTTCTCCAACACTCATCTCGTGCTCCCATCCCCAGCCACTAAACCACTTAACTTTTTCACACACAGGAGAAGGACAGGAACCTGCGCCGGATCACCCGCATGGTCCTGGTGGTGGTTGCCGTCTTCATCGTCTGCTGGACACCCATTCACATCTTCGTCATTATCACAGCACTGATCAACATCCCCAGCTCCACGCTGCAGACTATCACCTGGCACTTCTGCATCGCCCTGGGCTACACCAACAGGTACGCACCGGGCAGTAGCCTTTGACAAATAATTCAGATAAATGATTTCTTAAGTAATAAAGAAATAATTTAATAAATTGTTGTCTATTGCTTGATTTTCTCACATTTTACATTTTTTATTAAAGCACATTTGTTGATTTATGTTTTTATACAATGACCTAAGTTAACTTGTAGTTTTCACACTCCTCATTATACTGAATATAAAGGTGAAAATGATGTTGCTGGGTTTACAGGGAATCTGATTTTCTCGTGTGATGTTTTTGCCCCCTGCAGTAGTCTGAACCCGGTTCTCTACGGTTACCTGGATGAGAACTTCAAGCGTTGTTTCCGTGAGTTCTGCACCCCGAGTCCCTCGGTTTTGGAGATGCAGAACTCGTCCAGGACCGGAGCCACTAGCCGCAAGCTCCCACAGCGCGAACACAACAGTGGAAACACAGGAGAAAGGTCCAATCAACAGGTACCCAGTGTCTCAGTGAGAGTTAAATGAGAAAATTGGTACCACTCTCACAGTAAATGTGAAGCTACAGTCAGCAGCAGGTTAGCCTACCTTAGTGTAAGACTTGTCCTGACCACGAGGTTGCCAGGCAACCAGCAGAGACCCTAAGCTAAGCTAACCAGCTGCTGCCTCTAGCTTCGTATTTACTGTACAGACAGGAAAATGGTGTTGATTGTCTCGTCTATCTCCTTTTTTTACTGGTTCAGTATATGGCTGTGGACAGACGGTCATGTCTGTATATAAATATACTACATACACTATAACATAAACATACTTTCACCTCTTGCACCTCATCTCTCTGTAGGTATGACTAGCCTTGGAGGGGTCGTCAGTGGACTCTCGCTGTTGTGGCGGCGTTGCCAACGACGATCTCAACTCAGAGGTCACGCAGGTTACCACAGGGCTCTGACCACACACACACACGCACACACACGCACGCACACACAAGCCAAATGTACACACAAAGAGACATCACTGAGACTCAAATAGCACAGACCAATTCTGACAATGTGTTGAAAGCTTAACTACAGTGCTGCATCAGGTCAGGCCATTCACCTTTCAGCCATCCTAACTGTTACTAACTGCATGGCTGTGCAAGGCTTTTACTCTGACTGAAGCAGATGCAGACATGAGTCAAGCTAGACTAAACAGAAAACCAAGAACCATTACAAAACCGTGTCCTCCTAATCGAAGAAGTTGTTGCACTAAATTTGCATTAACACTACAATTTTTATCTAGCTTTCATCATTATTATAACAGAGTAGACTATACAGACAGAATAAGTACAGTACACACAGACAGATGTATAGACAGATCTATAAAAGCCACTTTCACAAGACAGTAAAATGATATGTCGTTGTGTTGTCTACAGAGCTGCCTCATTGATCTAAGGCTCCTGTCCTGTCCCTGATCTTATCGCTAATTATTTCAGTTGTAAAAAAAAAAAAAAAAAAAAAAGATCAATAACTGTTTTATGTCTTGTGTTTTATGATATTATATGCCATCTTGCCCGTCTGTCACTTTTCCTCCTCTTGTTTTTTTGTTAATCATTCACACGTGTCAGCACACTGTACGTTGTAGGAAACATGGATTAATGGGGGTTAATTGAGTGTGTAGACTCTAATCTGATTTGGGATTGTTAATGAAAACTCAAAGGCTCAGTGCTTGTCACCACACAAAGACATTAGTGGACAGGAGGTGTTGTTCAAAGTCATTCACGGCAACAGCTGTGCTTTTCATCCTGCCTCTGTATAGGTTCAGCAGGGGTTGACCCTGTCATACCTCACACCTTATTTACACCGTTCTCCACTGACTCATCTGCACAGCACCGCATTGGCTTTGGCTACTTCAGCAAGTATAGCACAACTGTGCTCTCTCCTCTCAACCTACCTAACCCTTTGTTTTCATTTACTGCCCCCTCAGTCTTCATCCTTTCCTTTCCTTCTAATTCTATTTCGTCTCTGTAAATACATTTTCTAATCTGTTGCTGGACTTACCATTAAGCAGACATACAGTAGAGCTCTGTATATCCTCTCTGCTGAATTTGAATGTACAGAAGAGAAACCAGCTGCGTTTCTTACTCTGGATCTTTGTGCTGAAATGCGGATCCTTTAAACCAGCAAAGAAGACACATCAGCCTGTTTGCACAAAGCATGCTGTTGCAGCATAAAGTACGAACATATGATACTACTACCAGTGTATGATGAACAGCAGCTTAACAGCCATTACACCAGGTATGGGTTTAAATGGAGTCACTTCTCCTCTGAAGTATTCAACAAGTGAGCCAAGCAGGATTGTACATCTGTTGTAATCTTTAGAATTGCTTGTGCTTACGTGTTGTGCTGTGTGCTATATTTGCCAGTTGCCTTCTTAGTAGCTCTACTCGATATTCTATGTACCAGTATTTTTTCTAAAGATATGTAAAGATGATTGTATTAATCTCCCATGTAAAATACTGTAAGTATTGTGTTGCTTTTTTATAAACATGACATCATGAAATTGTCAGAAAATGATTTCCGAAGATGATGGTGGACCAGCAAGTTATTGTGCTTCTAAATATAGATTTTGTCATATCGAATCTGCTGTGACTGAAAACGTGTATATTAATCAATAAACAATGTGTGTAAAATGTTAAATTGTGGATATGAAAATGTATAGAGTTTAACTTCAAAGACTCATTTTTTTTTTTTGTTTTGTTTTTTTATTGTTTTTGACTGAAAACCAATGATAAAATCACGCTGCAGTCAGTCCGTCTTTAGTATCGCTGCTTTCAGTCAGTCTCAAAAGAATAAAAAGTAAATTGTTATTGAACAGCTCAAATTTTAAAATTACTTATGTATGGGGCATCAGTGTGTCACATGCTGTATTTCATACACAAAGTGTTTATTGTGACAAAATGTAAAGTATATTTTCATGTTACAAAATACATCATGTGAACAAACAAATGCTGAGGAGCCAAATGTCACCTTCGATGCTTTGGAATGAATTTCAGGCCAAGAATGAAGAGAAGGAATAAAATATTTGGCACATGTGTCACTCTGTATAGAGCCAGAATGTTTGAGTGTTTTTCCCTCGGTATGTAACCTACCAGGTGTAAATGTATCAAGTATTTCGAGTTTTCCAGTAGTTGGTATTGTGCACCTTTCAAGCCGCGAGTGCAGGGCATACTAACATGACATGTCGGTATCAAGTGGAATTAAAACCATATTCTTCATTATCTTCCCAAATTTCAAGCCTTAGGCTACATAGCTAGTCTATACAGCTACAGTAAGCCCAGAGGGAAAAACCTGTCAGTCAGGCACTACCTGCAGCATACACTGTCTAGCACAAAAGGGGACATTTGGCATTAATGTAAATTGTATCATTAACACATATTTTTTAGCAGGTGACATTTGGTGCACCATATAGAATATAATTTGATGGTGTCCTTGATCAGAGCACACACCACCATTTTACTCTGTTTTCTATCATTTGCTTGTTTACATGACTTTTGACTCAATCGTGACCTAAGTTGTATTCTAGTCATGATAAGGCATTTCTTGTCATTCATGTACAGACAATAATTTCTACTTTACGAATGACACGCTGTAATACAATACGTATAATTTTACTGTTCATCAGTGCATCGTCTATGGAATAAAAGGCAATTCAAAATCTCACTGAATGTCTTTTTTCTTGTGTCTGAATAAAGTATCACCTGCACTGTGGTCAGGCCGTTCTTCAAATGTATTTTTCAGTATGTTCTCCATTCTCAACCTAAGACACAACGCAGCTTGTCTTCTGTGTGCACTGAGATTGTAGGAGTACAAATAACAAACAACAAAAATGAATTATGATGAAATATGGACTGTCATTCAGTTGTATATTTTGTGGAGCTGGGGCAGACATAACTCAAATCCAGCAGTAGGGGCTGCAGGAAGATGTTTTAAGTTGGGGGTACTGTAGTGGGAGGAGCATTTTACCCTAACCCATACAAGCCATAAAAATACAACATAGGCCTACAATAATACTATTACACACACACACACCAAAAAAGCAGCAGCAGTAACAACAGCAGCCAGGTCTATAAAAAAGGACTTAGTAATACTATTGCATACCATTCCAATACACATATCCAAAAGCCCATTGCACAGCACATAAGAACATATCCAAATACGCGCATTTTATCAACAAACTTATATCAGTATGAAGTAATTGCCAGCTGAATATTAAACTGCTCGGCGGCAGTTTACACCAGTCTTACCTTGAGCTGCAGACAATCCAGTAGTTATAATAATCCAAATGTGGCCATCAGGACGGCCTGGGTCAGACTCCTCCTGAAAGTGAAGGGGCACCAAATCAAGTTCTTTCCATCTGCACCCTTTTCATGCAAGCAAAACACACAACCTGGCCACACTCCGCCACGTAATGAAGCCACAAACCAAGTTGGTGTAAATGCACGGCTGAAAGTTTCTTTAAAGTTCCCAAAACGTCTGACCGGAAAATTGAAGTTGGGTGACTGGAGAGGCTCCTCAACTGCCACCAAGTCAGTCCTAGCCTGATACCTGTTAGCAGCAGACTCCTCGGTGGTGGCGGTGCTAACGGCAGTCTCTGGCGGCAGCAAACGATAAGGATGCTGGTGGAGCTGCTCTCCTGCGAAGGCTGGACTTAATCTGTGCTCTCTTTAGCCGGAGTTGGCCAAAAAAATCTGGAATACTCTTGTGGTTTTATCCTTCTAATAGCTGTCAAGGCTACAGCAGCCAAGTGTAAGTTTACAAACCCTACCATAGAGTTGACATGACCCGCCCCACACTGCATCTGATTGGCTAATGGCCATTGTCTTCGCTGGTTGGATTGGTTAGGTTAACGCGTGAGGAGTGAGAAGGGTTAAGGGTCAAGGTAAGAAGTCATTCTAAGGCAGAGTAGAACTGGCAATGTCGACCAAAGTCTGTAAAAAAAGATGGACGCAGTCTCCCATAGGTTTCTGAAGTGCGGTTGTAAAGTTTGGAGTGGGTCGTTCCAACGGTCGTTCTGTCGTCGCCATCTTGCCTCTACCTGGCTCAGCCGAACGTCCGGCTAATACAAAAACGAGGAGGGGCGCGTGTCGAGCCGAGACTTCGGCGCATGCCGGCTTGTGGCAGGCATACGCCCACCTGCCTGTCACTCAAAATGGCACGCCTTCATTTCGCCATAACTTTAAGCCTTAATAAAATGTAAACAGCTGAGTTATATAAAAAATTCACCCCCTGCACAGTTTTCATAAAGGAGGAAATTAGCTTTAGACCAAAACCGTTTTTGTACCAGGCTGTAAACATGTTTATTTCTGCTGTAAAGTTAGGCATTTTATCATTGGAGTAAATGGGGATTGACTCGCTTTTGGAGCCAGCCTCAAGCGGCCAGTCGAAGAGGTGCAGTTTTTGGTACTTCCGTATTGGCTTCATTTTTCACTCTCCGAGGTTGCCGCTTGTAGTAAACACAGTAGGAACATTACGCTCCGGCGGCCATACCAACAATCATCAGGTTTTTTCCCCATCAGTCACTTGTTACTCCCTACAGAACTCTAGTTTATTACTAAATGATTGCTGTAATGTAAAAACTTAATATTGTGCAGTTTGGTGATCCCCATACAGTATTTCACCCAAAAAGTGCTGCGTTAGCTCGGTGTGTATGTGTGTTCGTCTGTGGATTGAGACGTCACAGCAGACTTTTACTCACTTCAGTAAAAGCCCAGGTGTAATAAATATAATAAACAACTGTTGCAATTTAACTGTCCTACTGAGTCAGTGAGCTGTGCATTCACACAACCAGGGCCCTGGAACTACACTTAAATATGTGTACACTTGTGTAATGTTCATTATGTCTGTGAAGGAAAGAGTACTTACACATACCTGTGTATTTTAGCAGCAACTAAAAACCTTGCTGTTTTTTTCTCCTTGGCACTTTTGCTCATGGGAAATCCCTTGAAAACTGCATTAAAAACCTAAGTGGACTTGTGTAAGACTGACTGTTCACAGCTCATATAACGTCCATGAACTTTTTTGGATAATGCATAATGGAATATCAAGGAATATACAGTATATTTTTTGCCAATTCAGCATTTAATTCTATAAAATCTTTATGGAATTTAATGTTTAAGGGCTTATTTCTGACAGTGAGCCATCTGTTAACCTTCATTCCTCCCTATTCTGAGTATTTCAAATCATGTATTATCCTCAGTTACGAGGCCTGCTGAAGGGCAACTCGCTGTCGATGCCCCCTCGCTCAGCAAGTTTCCTCTCACTTGACATATGGTGCTATATATTACCAGGTGTGGAGGGGAAGTGAAAGAGGGCATTAAAACACACACTGGGCTGAAGTCTGTTCCCACGCCATTGTACTTTTTTTCACACTGTGGTTGGGATTGCCTTGATTGCAGTGAAATCGAGTGAATTACAGAGGCTCTTTCCAAACACTGAGGAAAGTTTGAGCTGTTGTGGCAGACAGTATTGTGTGAACATTATGAACCAAGAGCATCTGTGTGTTTCCAAGAGCATGGGTGCATACATGTGAAGTGTGACATGATTTGTTTACACCGGTGTCTGGGTGAGAAAGAGTCATCAGCATCGTCTCAGATGTGCGTGGGTGTGTTTACAGCATGTATGTCTGAGTACATGCCTTGACCTCTTTCTCTGTCATGTATGGGGCTGTCTAGGAGCCAGGCATTGTGTTATTGGAGTTGGCAGCATGATTAGTCCTGTCATGGCGATTATAATCAAGTGGTTTTGAATGTCCCCTCTTCCTGCAGAAATTCCGCTTTCGCACGGACCTGATGTTGTGGAGCTGCCCTCGTCTGTACAGAAAACTAATCAACCACAGCAAAGTTAATCAACCACACCTGAGCTCATATTTCAAAGCCCAAGTCTTCTTCTTGAGGAGAAACACAAGGGTTTGTATGAGGAGACTGAGGACAATTTTGTTGTAAAAAGAAATACAGAAATGTGGTACTGTCTTTCTCTACATGCATACAGGGGACAGCTATTAAATACCTTGTTTTCTTTTAACCAGAAATATCTGATAAGATTAATCATCTTATTACAATGCATGTGAACACATTTATGCTACACACTACTGTATTTATGACCTGGTATCACTGATTAAAGATTCCCACTTTGTACATCCTAGAATTGTGTTTTTAAAAGGTCTGAGTGTCATGTGGCTCGTACAGTAACACAATATCTGCAACAGTCACTGCCTAAATAATAAGATTAAGTGTTGTATCTGTACTTTTAGGAAATGTGATTCCTATTCATTGAGAAAATCATGCAGTGCCCCGGATCTTAGTTATCTGCTGTTCCACTCCGAGGGCTCCAGGGAAGCTTATTTTATCTTTGCCACTGAGGTGACTTTGCGCAGGTTGTAACCAAAGCCTTGAGCAAACAGGTTCTTGACTGATCACATCATGAGATCAATGGGGAAATTAATTAGTTTTTAACAACAAATAAACATAAATCCTTTACGAAACCCGAAAACAGCAGGGGTGAGGAGGGGGGAGATTGTGTGCCCAGAGCCATGCCAAATCCGATTTAAGTCCTCCAGGCTTTGATACCCCAGCAACTCAGCACTGTCATAGAGCAGGAGTTTCCTCAGGCTATTTCACACCTAGATGAATGGCTAACTGGCTCTCATCATCTAACTGAGAGGAACATTGCTTTTTGCTGGCGTGGTTCACAGCACATTAGGAGGTGGGAGGTGGATGCTGCAGAGAGAATCTCGGGTGTTGTGGGGGAAATGAAAGTCAAAGATTGTCCAAAGAAAAGAGACAGGAAGTAAAGCCAGAGAACCAAACCAGCCAGTTAAGTTGAGCTAATATTACAGTAAGAAAATGAGTGGGACTGACCACCAGTCATGCAAACCTGTCATCCACCCCATTACTTTGTCCACCAGTAAACTAGGCACCCAGCAAAAAAGGAAGGCAGATTGTCAGCTGACCAGCGAGCCGCCTCGCTGTTACAACCCTACAGGGTGTAGTTTGTTTTTACGTCTTCTCTCTATCTGCCTCTGACGCCTGGTGGTTGGGAATGGGTTACGTTTTAGGCCGTTGGTTTAAATCACTGGAAGTATTGCTGACTCCATTTTTTATAGGCTATCACTCAGCAGGACTGTGGGGGCACAGGACCCATCCAGTCAGGTAATATTCCTATCCATCTACCTGATTTCATTACCCCTTCCCCCTGCTAGTGCTTTGCTTTGCAGTTCCCAGGACTCCTCACTAAAAGATTGGCTTTCAAATGTTTAATAATCTTGCCCCTGTGAATATTATTTTACCATAGGTGTAGCTCTGCAAAAGTGATATATAAAATTGAATCTATTTTGTTTCTGGCAGAGTGCAAAAACAAACACAAAATAACAAGAGGAAAATAATCTATACTGAATCTATGCTTATGTGTCACACATTATATTCATTATATGCACACATACATTGACAAAGGTCTGAGTAACCTGGCAATACACTCAATAAACTTGGGTCCTATTCTGACAGGGCATCTTCCTCAGACGCTGGAGCAGTTAACCACATGCATTTTATAGAAGAGTTGGAATAATATCTAGGGAGAAACACTCCACAATACCTTAAGATGATGAGACACTTTCCACTGACAAGGTCTCTCTGCAATATGTGTAAACATTGTGTGCAAGTGGAGCCACACTGATGCACACACACTGGTCTTAACCAGGCTGAAAAAGATCACTTTTTCAAAACAATGGAAGTTTTGAATTGATCCTTCTTCTCCGCACTTGTCTTAAAGGGGCACTCCACCAGTTCAACAGTTGTCTTAACAGTTGTTGGCAACAAAATTTTGAAAGGAAAGTCTGAATCATGGGGTTTGAAGTGTTTAGCAAGCAGGGAAGTCTAATGAAAGATGCTTGCGTTATGGGAATTGTAGGATCTTGTGTTTTTGGTGCTTGATCCATACTAGGGACTAAAAATCAAGATATGTCAGCCTTTGATGCTTCAATTTTGTCTGTCCTTACTTTAAATTGTCTCTCTTCTAGATTTATGGAAGTCCAATTTGGTGGTGTATTCCTTTAAAACTGATTATTCCATAATAAAAATCTATAATTCTCCAGTAATACAGGTCTGTAATTTCTTAAGAGATACACAACTCTCACTCTGTTGGTTTCCAGAAGAATTTCCTTGAGAGAAAAGCTCAATTTAAACCAAAGTAAACCTTCATGAATTACTTTATTATTGGAAACTTAATCTTCCATTTATGTTGAGGTTTATGCTCGCCTGTGGACAACTTTCACATTGTTTCATGTTCACTGACATGCTGAACTGACTAAAAGACAGTTGTAATTTATTTCTGTATCCTTCTTAAGTTTGCACTCTCTTACATGAGGCCACAATCATTTTTTGTCCACTTACACTGTTTCATATGTTTTCAGCAATATGTCCACAATGTCCAATAATAATGATGCAGTGCTTGTTACGCAAACTGCTGAATATTATTAAAGGAGAATTAGAGACTGAAGTGCAATGGAAACTAAAGAAAATGTTAATAATGGTCACGATCAAACACACACACACACACACACACGCACAGATAAGTGAAAGGACAAGCATAATGTAACAGGCTGTATTAACAGCACCTCTTATTCTTCCCCCCTTCTATCTCATTTTTCCTCTCTCAAGTGGATGTCACGAGACTAATGACAAGCGTATAATTGTGTCTATTTTCTCATTTTGATGCAAATCCCACATCTTTTCAGCTATCCATCGCCGTCATTGTGCTTTCAGCCTCTGCAGCAGAGTAGAGATGCAGTCCAGCGTCATCCCCCAAACCACACTGAACTCCTGTTCCTACTTTAAAGATAAAGCCTGGATAACTTGCACTATATCACAAGCTAAAAGGAATGGAAACTGATCATGGCTCACACAATCCTCTGGGCACTGTGATACGGACAATATCCGCCTCCGCCACAGTTGAGGTGCCACACAGCATTGACCTCATTCCCAACGGTTCCTGCCTGGCTCTGCTATCAGAGATGTAATCTCTGTCCCTGTAGATTCTCATGGTGCAGTGTGATAATGGACCTTGCGTACTCCTTACTGTTATCCTTCAAACCAAGTTATTCTTATCAGACATTCTTCTACAGAATGAGTGAGCTATACAGCCAATCAGTGGTCAAGAACATCAGCAGTCCTCAAGGTATTTATCTGAATAGGGTATGTTGTCTAGTTTAATCATACAAAAAGGTGAACCTCAGTGAAATGATCTGATATCACGGTGGAAGCTTTTTCTACCTAATTTTCTTACAATGACTTCAAAACCTAGCTTTCAGCATGCCAGTGGAAATGAACTTGACAGCACTGTACTACCTTATTTTCTTTTTTTTGCTTTTATTGAGCCCCATTATCATGGCAAATGTTTTGAGTGATTTCTCTTTATCACAGGCTGAACACATTCAAACAGAAAAAGTACTACGAACATTTATTGAAAATGTAGTCCCTTTTCCCAAATGTGTCTTAACTTGTAAATGTTCAGGCAATCTTCTTCTTATGTGCGTAAAGCCAAAATCAATTTTCCATGTAGAAATTGCTGGCTGAAGATCTAGAAAAAAAGCAAAAACGCAAATGTAAATCATTCAAAATGGCTCTAGAGGAAATGCAAGAGACATTTTAAACATTCCTGGGTAAAGCCAGAAAGAGGTAACATTATTTTTTTTATATATGATGGGGTTTATGTAGCCAACCAGATGAACATACCTCTGATGTTAAGGCAGTCTAGCCCAGTGGATGTGACCTGCTGAGGGTATCACTTGACTTGTTATTACAATGACTCTTGCCATCTGCTTCAATCTGCTGTCTCTGCACATCTCCACTGCTGTTTTAATGAGAAACACCAAGAAGGCAATGACTCAGCTCAACAAGCAACATGCTGATAATGACAGTAAAAAAACTTGAAATTGGAATGGAGACTAACCTGTGCAAAAGTCAGATTGTGCAAAATGTTCCCATCAAGGTAGTGAAACAAAAAATTTGCTTTGGCTATAAAAACATTCTACACATGGGACACTGCTATTGCAACAGTTTGCTTGATTTACCTTCAGATAACCTGAATAGAGTACCTGGAGGAAACCCACACAGGGACGAGGAGAACACGTAGGCCTGCAGGTTCATACCCAGAATCTTGTTGCTGTGAGGCGGCAGGTCTAATCACTGCACCACAGTGCTGCCCCCAAAGTGAATATATTTTATAGAACAATTTTATAACAAAGAAGATAAAAACAATTTTATCATTCCAGCCAGACAGTACATATGTGAGACCACAAAGTCACCTTGGAAGATACAGTCCACTGCTATGTGGCTACAAGGATGGTAATGTAGGTCTGTCAGTCTCCCACTTGGGTCCAGACCAACATATTTTATCAGCCATTCAACTAATATTACATTTCCATGAAATTTTGTACAGATATTTAAGTCCCACTTGAATATCTCCTTGATAATCCCCATTTTACTCAAGTGTCACCATGAGTCTTTCCGTATAGAATTATTGGATGGATTGCAATGAAACTTGGTACAGACATTCTTATTTCCCAATCCTAATGACTTAAGTGATTCCACTAGTGCCACTATGAGTTAGTTTTGAGTGAAATGCCTGAACAACTGTTGTATAGGCGTCTAGTCCACACAACATGTGCTGTAACCCAAGTCAGGCCTGGCTTGTGACATTTGGGCTGTGTCTGGCACACACAGCAGAAGTGGTGCAGATTAGACCCAAATGTGTCTCTGGGACATTAGCCTCAGACAGATGGTATAATGTTAGTGTGATCATCACCAAACTACTGGAACTTTGCCAGTAGTCGTTGCTATTAGCAACCTCCTTGCCACAGTCACCTAGTGCCTGCTCATGGTGGGAATTGTTGGTTCTCTGTAATCACTGTTATAAAGAGTATGGTTAAGATTGATTTAATTGACTTGATTTGACAACAGAAATTTCAAATGAAAGCAACTGCTGGGAAACAAAGTTCATCAACCACTTGGCATCTGGTACAAGAAATTGACAAAACCATGTGACATATTTCCTGAGAACTGTGAGTAACTACAAACTGGAAGCAATTTATAGCGAGTGACAGAACTATGGCCAGCCAGACTTTTTTTGTTTGTTTGTTTGTTTTTCTTATATCTGTTCTTATAATATCATTCTTTTAATGAATTGTTTGCAACAATTTATTTTAATTATAGTATAGCTACAAACTATATCTTAAAGTCCAATCTGTCTTGCTGAACGTGAACAAATAGTTAAAGCTTTTTTTCCCCCCGGTTCATTTTACAGGGGGACACTGCCGGAAGTCATCGCTGCATTGCTTTGAGACGAAGTGTGGTCGGTCTGTTGATTATTTACATCTTCTGCCTTTGTTTTTCAGCTCTTTACATATTATCGAGTAAGTATGTTATGCTTCCGAACGCTGTACGATATACTATCTCTAAGAAACTGATATTTAGCTAAAAGAGCCGCTTCGAAAATACTTTTATTGGAGTAATATCAGCTAGCTAGCATTACGTTACGGTTAGCATGCTAACTGTTTCTTTGTAGCGTTAGAGAGCATTTTAGGACCTGTCTATCAATTTTAAGTTATATTCGGCAGGAAATTGAGTCAAACATATAGAACGTAGTTAATTTTAGAAAGATGGAGCGGAGGGAGCTATTTGTAAGTTTTGCTATTGCTACTTAGCCAACGTTAGCATTAACAGCTGTTTACTTAGCAATCTAGAAGAAACGTCGTGACTTCAGCATCAAACTTCATTCTTTTACTCACCAAGAGCTGTCTCCGGTAGTGCAAAGCAACGCCAATATTAATTATTGTCTCTATCGTGCCCTTTCTTCTCGTTCTCCTACTGAAGTTAGTATGCTAACTAGCTAACCCTGGTCCGTCTCGTCCCTTCCCGGTAACGGCTAATTGCATCCTCCAATCTGACCTGAAGACCTGCTTAGACGGCGTATTATAACCTCTTGTATTATAAAGACAACTATGGCCGAAGCTCTTGTCAAGCGACAATCATCACCATTCGCTCCCGGAAAGAAACCGCGTTTGGCAGCAGAGAAAACGCACAAATAGCCTGTTTTGAGACAGGCGTACTGCTTTTTTTTTTAGAAGACCTCCCTGCCTCTGTTTGAATTTTGTATTAACTTGTACTTTTATGATAAATTATATATTTTTTTCCTTCTCTGTCCAGGGCCTCAGGGATTCTCATTCTCAGTGAGAATGACAGACAGATACAACATCCACAGTCAACTGGAGCATCTCCAGTCTAAGTACATCGGCACAGGACACGCGGACACCAGCAAGTGGGAATGGCTGGTGAACCAGCACCGAGACTCTTACTGCTCCTACATGGGACATTTTGACCTGCTCAACTACTTTTCTGTTGCTGAGAATGAGAGCAAAGCGCGTGTCCGCTTTAACCTGATGGAAAAGATGCTCCAACCATGTGGACCACCAGCAGACAAACCTGATGATGCTTAGATTACACTGAAGGGCACATGATGTTTTTATACTGGAGTTTGTTTTGTAGGATTGGTTTTATTTCTCATGGACATTCAACTTGATTTTCTGCCAAACATTTTCAATTTTATGTTCTTCTAAAATTTCTGACCATAAGTTAGGACTTCTGCTCCATCCCTGCCAACTCTTCCAACTCTGACTGGAGGGTCTTCGTATACAACAGAATATTTTTTGTTGTATCTGGACCACTGAAAAATATTTCTTTCCCTGTACAGATCTGCAGCTCTCAGGGAAGTTAGCTATGAAGGTGAAAGAAATGAGAGTAAGGAAGAGCTTCAAGACTTAAGGACCCAAGAGAAGATAATAGAAACGTGTACAAAGTAGTGTACTATCATTGTCAAGTATTCGTATTAACTGATGGAGATGTATTCTTGATTGAAACATCTGTTTTGATTTAATTAAAATGATTTTTCTCTATGTTGATATATTCACATCATGACTGTATGCTTTTGAATTTTATGGTTCATGGGTTTAATTAGTCGACAGGCAGCTGCTCAATTATTCATGTGCTGCTTTTGAAAATAAAATAGTTTCTCATCACAATGTCTGTACCCAGACTACATACAGATGGTTGACTAATTAAAGTAAAGCCAACAAAAAGTCACTTTGTGCAGTGCTGGGACACCATGATCAGACTACTGCTCCTTGGTATAGATTTTCCATATTTCTAATGATATGGAACACCATTCTTCCGAAAGATATTCCCTCATTTGATGTCAGTGGGTGGAGAGAGTTTTCAAATATGTCACTTCAAAATCTCCCTATTGTGTATGATTCACATCATATTCATAGGCATGAAATCCTTGAGTGAACTCTCACATCCAGTACAGAAGCATTTGCATTATTGATGTTTCTCCACTGGCTTATTCAAGATTTTCCTTCAATGTGTCATCCATCTGAAGAAATAAACAAATAAAGCGAGTTGTGGTATGCATGCATAGTAGATGTCAGTTTACTGGTACTAAATTGGACACATATATTTGACAATTACATTTTCAGACAGTAGGAAAAGGCATGTGCTTCAGTCTGAATTCAGAGGGACAAAGTTGAGGGAAAAAAACAAAGACAAACTTCAAAATAGGAGAAATAATGAAGTGAAGAACAACCGGGAAGGAAGAAAACATTTGGTTACTTTTAAAAATGAAATGATAAATGAAACAGCAAATATGTAGTGTACTTGAGGAAGGAAAATAGATATATTACAGCCATAATGTACAGAGCAATCAAAGTGAACTCAAAATAGGGCATAAAAGTCTCATAGTCTGGAACCGTAGGAAGAAATTTCTCAACATACAGTATGTGGGTCTTCAATACTTTTTTGTGGCTTAAAACGTCAGATGATAAATACTAGGCATAAATAATAGTATGTGATGTTTGATTTTTGCCCTGATGTTTATGTTTAACAATAAACCTGTAAGAATACAGCTGTTTTAAGATCAGTCTGGAAAATGTAACCTGCAAGCTAGAATATTATCGCCTCAGACATAAAGCTCTTCAGCTGCATGTATGTACTGCACAGCTGTGTTTTTCAGCAGAGACTTTGTTTGGCCTTGCAGATCCAACAAACTGTTGTCCACCTACACAGCCTCTCACACATGCACCACATTCAGGCACACACGCACACACATTTGTACCCAATTGTCCACCCACACATTTCAGTGCAAACAGATCAGCTATGTCTCATTTAAAGGAAGTTATTACATTGCCACATGTTCAAGATTTACTGTCTATTTTATAGGCAACAGTATATCACTCTTCGTTGTTTGAGCAGATGGTTGATTCTCATGTATCTTATGTTCATGGTGGATTGAGCTAAAAATTGACTGCTCTGGTATTTTTCATTCTACATATCTGAAGAGCAAATAATAGCAATTAGATCTGTGTGCGCAAATTAACCTCTCAAGCAGTGGCACTACTGTATAAACTACCATGAAACACAGCTCAGGATTAATCCAGTGTTGAATTTGAATCAGTGCCTTTGATCAGGACCCTCAATTTAATATGCTACTGGTACATGACAAAATGTTTTTATAATGCAAATTGCCTCAGTGTGGTTGAAGTAGAATAAATGTTTGAAGCAGCAGCCACAGTGAGACGTGACTAGAGAAGAGCAGCAGGTGTTGTGTTTTGACTTGCTGACTTCAGGTGATTTATCAAAGCATACTCCCAGCCAGATTCACACGCACAAACACAGACACTTGGCGGGAGAGGATGCTATGCGTGACTCATTGTTGGATTGAGAGACAAGTCAATGGGTGCCAAGGAAGTTCTTGTGTTGTGCATTACGTCTCAATGTGTGTGTGTGTGTGTGTGTGTGTGTGTGTGTGCGTGTGTGTGTTGGAGGGCTTCTTAGTAGGGTAAGTCCTTGCCATCTGTCCTCACTGTGAGAGCCGCAGAGACAGTGCTGCCAAGTCAGGCGAGAAAACAACATGAGGTCTGTCGGTGTGCCGTCACACAGGCACACACACACACACACACACACACATGCAGACATGCACATAAAACACTGATAAACTGCTTGACTTGTTTTCTCTGAGAGACAAGCATATAAATAGACATCTGCTGCTGAGTTTCTAGTTGCATCAGTGGGGATGGGCTCACCTTTTCTAATGGTAATAATACTTGCAGGTGGGTGTTCTTTAATTATAGGCTCTCAAGTACAAGTGCAACACCCACTTTGTAAGTGAAGCACTCAGAGAAACCTCTGCAGCATTTTTTTTACAGAGCTTTCTCTAAAGAAAAGAGGAAAAAAGGAAAAATGTATTGTGTTAAGTCTAGTGAGAAAACCACCAGCAGATAGGAGAGATGATTGAATAGGCTGATCAGGATGTCTTCAGAAGTTTCCTACACCCAAAATTACACCTGTGAGAAAGGATCAATCATCACAAGGTTGTTCATTTACTGTGAGAGTTTGTTGGCTTTTGTTTGGTTATGTGAAATATGTCTTTACTGTACCAATATATTAAGTGACCATTTCTTCTTCTAAATGTGTGTGTAACCAAGAGAAATATCAGGGAAAATGCCTTGTGTTTAGCCCCTTCCTGTTGATCCTCCGTTGGGCTGGGGAAATGAGAAAAGTAAAGAAATTCAGATTAGAAAATGAGCAATGTTTGCAACATCTGAAGCCTGCTGCATGATTTATGATACATTGATAAATTGAGCCTGATACTGAACCTGCCAGGATTCTCTGCAAAGTAAACATGAGTCTGTTAAAACCCAGATAAAGGTAAGCAGCTCTATATTAGGACTGTTTTGCCTCGTTTCCCTCACAGTGAACTATATTGCCAATCTTAATCCTCTATCAGGATATCTCCCTGTGACGAATCTGGAAGAATCAGGGGAAGATTGCCTGTAGTTGTTAGTTACTTCATAACATACTGGCACTATACATGAAACATCTTTCACCTGAATGAGTTGGTATTGATTTAAATCCAGAAAAACAAACAAAACATAAAACTCAAACTCAATAGCAGCTTCTGTGTTGACAAAACTGAAAAAAATGACAGAATAATAGATCATATGGCCCATACAGATCACATTGGCATCATAAAGAGCAAATCTATACGATAGATGTTGACAGAAAGATACAGAAGCCTTGTGCTTGCATAAGTTCACTTCATTCAGGGTTTGACTACAAGGTTATTTGTTTTCAATTGACAAGATGATTCTCAAAGAATATTTCCTTATTGGATTGATTAGTAAGTTAATATAGTGTAATTAATAATCATCTTGAATATGCAGAACTTTTTCCTCACATCATTTCACTTTGTTTTTCTAACCTCCAGAGGTACCGAAGCTGAAACCTCCAGAGAAATGAGGTTCAGCTCCGTTCGAAGCAGCTCAACTACTAACTCTTTTAACTGTGAGGTTCCATCGCACCAGTGCTGAGCTCAGTAAGTACAGGCCTCCTCGAACATCTCACAGCCCAACACCCACTGAATCGATCTCATCTGGCGTGGCAGCTCATTATCGCCTCACTCAGCATCCTGCATTGTCTTGATAGAAGAGGCAATTAATTCTGTTCCTTGAGGTGACCCTTTTAAAGGCTATGGTTACAGTGGAAACTGCACCTGCATCGGTGCGTGTTAGCATTTTTAAATGGCACCTGAAATGGTGAATGGCACCTTTTAATAGCCGTTCGCCCTTTCTGTGTTGATGCTAATGTGAGCGTCTCGTTTGGCCAGTTGTCCACATCTGCTCTCTCCTCTGATTACACAGGAGCTCAGCCAAACGGTGAAAAGGTCCAGGAAGCACATTCACCCTTATCAAATATGAATGCTCCCACAATCCAATTATCTTTGCCCTTCCATGCCACCCACTTCTTTGATCCATCTATCTGCGTTCACTCTTCTTCTCCTCCATTGTTCCCCTCCGCCAAACTCTTCACTCTTATTTTCTTTACCCCCCCCCCACACACACACACACACACCCCCGCAAAACCTCATCACTTCCTCCTTTTCTCCCACTGCCTGCTCCCTCTTTCTTTCTCCATCTCTGCTGCTCAGATTAGCCTAAAGCAGTGGAGTGGAAACATCCAAGATAAAACACACAAGTTATCTGACTCTGCAGTGGGGACAAAACACATGGAAGTCTTCTGTGAAGAACTCAGGAGTACGTGTCTGGCACCAGAATTCCTGAGGAACAATGGCACTCAGAAGATGAGAAGGAATGAATGCTAGACCTTAATGACAAAATACTGAAATGAGTGTCTGGTCTGAACAGTTTTGGAAGCAGTTTTGTGCGATAAAAGTTCACCTTAAACTCAGCTTTGATTAACAAATGCATTTTTAACTGGATTTGAAACAAATGTCATCACCTACACTTCTTAACCATCAATTACCTTTTCATAAAATTTCTCAGCACAGAAGATTAAAGATTTCAGAAATATTCTTTCTCTCCAGCATTGGTAACCCTTTATAACCTTTCACTCACTTTTTGCAAAAGGAGTGAGTAATTTGAGAAGTGGAATGACTGTAATAAGAAAGCACAACAAGGCAGAACCAACCCTATAACAATCACACTTTTTGTAACCTTGGAGGATATTAGACTCATGATTGATATCCAGCGTTTTCTAATTGAGTAGAAGACCTGCATTAAAGCGGAGACCTCCAGGCAGCGCGCCAGGGACAAAACTGCCTTACCACCCTGCCTGGGAAACTTCATTAATGTGGGGAGTGTGTGTGTGTGTGTGTGTGTACGTGTGTGTGTGTGTGTGTGTGTGTGTGTGTGTATCTGATTTAAAGCTAGTATGACTTTTGGGGCTAAAACTTGGAAACTTTTTGAAGAAGACTGGTTGTTTTACAATTTTTAAAAAAAGGGCCTCATTCTATAAAGGTTAGGTTTATAGTTCAGGTTGGAAGAATATGGCTGTGGGGAATTCTAGGAATAAAGTTGTGGGTGCTCACAGGTCAAAAAAGTGTGTGTGTGTGTGTGTGTGTGTGTGTGTGTGTGTGTGTGTGTGTGTGTGTGTGTGTGTGTGTGCGGGGGTGTGTGTGTGTGAGGGAGAAACAGCAGGAGATTTATGACCACTGTGGTCCTAGGGGGGCATCTTCCAGATACAAGCACCAGATGCTACAGCTACCTTGCTGTCCTCCTTTGTTCTATAAAACCCATTATCACCACTGTCAGAATAATATATATATCAATATATTGAACAAGGGAGCTGCAATACTGACAAGTGGGCAAACAAATCAAAAACTTCAATTTTCGACCATCCTGTCACCGAGGTCAAGCTGAATCATCTTTGTGCTGTAAAATCCATTCCAAAGCCAGCAGGTTGTCAGAGATGGCCTTTAAAGTGGAACATATAAGCTCCACCAGTGATTCATGTCTTTGATTGTTTCTCATTTCCTTCCATCTCCGTCTTTGCAATCTCCTCGCTACTCTCCTCATCCAATGTCTCCTTCAGCCTCTAGTTCTCATTTTCCCTCATCCTCTTCTTCCGAACCAACTCCATTATGCCCACATCCACTTTAAAAGCTGGCAGGCTTGTACTCTGCATGAGGCTGAGTAGATGGGGCTGCAATTTGATACTATAATGGTCACTCACATAGAAACCTCCAACATCAACCAGAATACACACTTGCTCAAAGGTTCAGAGATGTTTGCAGCACATACATTAAGATGACATGCACTCTAAGACCATGAAATCCCACGTGTAAGCAAGCATGAGGTCAGAACAGTTCAAACACACAGTATTTACAGTCGCATTTATCTGGGATATTTATTGGAAATCCATTTGGGAAAATGTGGTTTTAATGGCACGGCAGAGTAATGTGGTTCATCTCTCAGTCGTGTTTGTCAGACTGTGTTTGCATATTGCAGACTGAAGATGCATTTAAATATTGACTTCACATTTGGGAAACAGACAGGGAAGTTTACTGGAATTACTTTGTTTTGCACCAGTCAAGCTAAACTGATGAGCATCACAACTACATGCAAAGGATTTGATTAGAGTTGTATTTTGTAGGCAAACCGAGCCACAAGTGTGAAAAGACAGCAGAGGAGAGACATTAACAGAATTATTTTAGTGATTATTGATGCTCTTTTGTTAACTTAAGTGTACAGAGTCATTGGTAGCAGCTTTGTGAGACTGTACTTACCCACACTATACAAATGTCGGCATGCTAACATGTTCATAATGACAATGTTAGCTAAAGTTTTTTTAGCAGCTTTACCATACTCACAATCATAATTTAGCCTGTTAGCCCACATGCTAACATATGAACTAAATACAAAGCAGAGCTGAAGCTGATGGGAACGTCATTACCTTTGCAGGCATTTTAATCATAAACTGAAGTATTCAACAAATAAATTTGACCTGCTGGTTAAAATTGAAAATTGAAGGTTCTTATGATAATTCTGATGAATTATCATAAGAACCTTAAATTTTCATGTGTGAGGGGAACATAAAAATATCCATGTCACGGCAATCCAGCGGAAAGCTGTTGAGACGTTTCACTCAAACCCACAAATGTCAACCTCATGGTGCTAAAGGAAAGTTCAGAGGATCACCTATGTCATCCAAATTCATCTCTTGGGCACCATGAATGTCTGTATTCAATCTATCTAACAGTGATGTCTTATAGCGGAGACAGACCCATGTTCCCTTGAGCCGCACCGCTAGTAAGACTAATAGAAATACAGCTGTTGCACTTTTAAAATGATGGTTTGTCCTTTAGTAACCCAAGCAGAAACTCAGTAAGAGCTAAAAGGCACAGTGAGGTTCAGAGCAGATTTCTCAGTGTAATTATGCTGTCATCTTCGACAATATTTCACAATCAGGTCACATGTAAGGTGATGAGTTAAAGGCTTTATTCATTTTTTCTAAAATCCTAGAAAGGCTTAATTGGCACTTATTGCTACACTTTTCAGCGCCCACCTAGGCTGTAAATTTTTCCTGACCTCGGCGCAGATTTTTTTTTTTATTAGTCCAGGAAATAATGGAATGGTGCATGTATTTAAAAAACCGTACTGAGAGTGTCTTGTTCTTTCCAGAGCTTTCTTCATCTCAGAGCTCTGCTGCTGCACTTTGTATGTGCTGTTTGCATCCATGCATTTTAACTCATACATTCCTGTCTTATATGCTCAAGTCTGTTATTACTCAAGTGAGAAAACACAATGACAAAATGGATGTTTTTTTGTTTTTTTCTCCATGATTCTTTATATACAAAAACAATATACACAGTCTGACGTTTGCACGTAACAGTAGCAGGTTTTTTTGGGATATATGACATCGTCCTATGAGTTCAAAGATCAAACATACAGTAAGGGTGTTTGGAGTCCATGTGAAATGTTCAGTCCTGGGTCTTTGCTGCTTTGAGCATCTTGTTGCGTTAAAAAAAAAAAAAAAAAAAAATCAATCCCCCACAAATCATGTTACCTTACCGTGAATTTCACATGATCAAGAAAAGACTACATGATAAAGATAAAAGGCTTTCAATCAACAACAGCAGCAGCAGCAGCAGCAGCAGCAGCAGCAGTCTGGTTTATGGCTCCTGTGTGAAATTAGAGATTTGATTTGGGGGAAGCGATGGAGGACACTTTACAGCAGCAAACATTCACAAAACAAACATTTTCATGAACTGGTGTATGTCTCCAGAATTGCAAATTAAAAGTGGCAGTCAGGAAAGCCAGAGTCAAAATGGACGTGAATGTTTTAAAACGACTCAACTGGAATTTTAGAGAAAAACTTTCTGAAATTAAGCAGGAATTTTATGTTTTACACTTTAATTCCACATAGTCTGCAGTGGATAGAAATGTGGGGTGTGTTTATAACTCCTGTAGCTTCTTTGGGTCTCTTAACTCTGAAGGTTTATTGTGTTTATTTTTGCAGTCCTGTACGAGGTGAGATGAAACCAGACGGCAGCCATAAAGGTTTTTACAGGACTCCCCCTTGTGATTAATACTGACAGGTTATGACTAAACATCAGCTGCCAAGGCTCCTCCACAATATCAACTGCTTAGTTTAGATATACTTACACCCAATTCTGGACAAAATATGGAATTAGACATCAGTGTTGAAAAAAAAAAAAAAATTTGTAGATGTGGTAATGATCCAGACCAGGACTCTCCAAGATAACACCAAGCTCTTGCCTGGATTTACCCAAACAAGATTTCTAAAGCTTCTTATTGGGCACCACTTTATCTTAACATCTCAATTTAGCATTAATATGCAGCATGAACACTTCATAAATGATCTGTAATACACTATAATGTAGTTGTAATCAAATATAAGGACATATAAAGTGTTCATTAATATATTTTGCCCACAGTTATAACTTCTCCTATGAAGCATCCTGTTGTATACATAGTTAATGAATGACCGATAACGTATAACATGGCTGTAATAATGATAACAAATCCTTTATACACATGTACAAATGACAGGCAGGTTTTAAACCGTTCATAAATGTGTTTAAAACTTGTGAAGACATACTATATAAAATTACACATATACTATATCATGTTTAATAGTTATCAATGCTTCATAAAAGGAGTTAAAGTTGTTAACAAATACATTCATAAACGCATAAAAATGTCTTTATATCTGCTCACTACATAATCATTTATTCATTGACTATATACTGCTTATACACCGAGTTAAAATACAGTGTTACCAGTTATGCTTCACCTGCTTTAACTTATCTTATTTTTCTAAGGTGGGTGCAAGCAACATGTTCATGTTTCCTTCACTGTGACAGGACCAAAGCTGCAAAAAGAAGTAAGACTTTTTATTTGTTTATCTGATATAAGAGCTTTCTGGTCTTTTATCACAGTATTTGCTGTTGGTGTGCACTATGTTTGCTTTTATAGAAACTGATTTCACACCGCGTGCAACCAATCAGACGTCTGTTTCCTGTTCTTATAAAACACAACTGGATTGTTGGAACTTGAGCAACAGTTACTGGGATCATGTCAAAATGTGGAGCTGTATCCTGTCATCTGAAGAAATAAATCAAATGTGAGGTCCAGAGAGGATTATCCTTTGCTTGCATTGCACCTCTTGACTTCACTTAAAACGAAAGTGACGCAGAATATTAAATAATAATCCAATTTATCACTACCTGTATAATGTCTTGTCCATCATCTGCTTAGGGAACAGGTAGGTTTGATAAAGACATGACAGTTATTCAACACATTACACTTGATATTCTGCCTGGAAACAGCACGTGTATGTGTGCTGTGCTGCTCATTTCATTATCAGTGTCCGGGGAGGATAAAAAAAAAAATAAGACGACTAAAATCAGAGCTTAAAACGTTCACATCGAAGTTGCATTGTATCATATTGGTAGTAAAGTTGATTTCAATGTATGCACATGCTCAATATACATTCTGTACAAAATAATCAATATATATAACAACATAGACATTGACATGAATGAATACTGTTGGTTTCTTTTCCATCACTGTACATCATTTCATGTTACAACCTCCGCACATTCAGAAGCAGAGGGAACACATCCGTCCTTTTCGGTTACTATTTGCCAGAATGACGAGTGTTGTGAAGGCTGGAGGTCTTTTATTTGAACACAAGCCTTTGGACGTCAGCAAGCTCAATCTGTCAATCACTTGTCAGCAAACATCGTCTATCTAGTTCAAATATGCTGGGAATGAAAAATTACTAATGTTTTTGTTTAATTTTGATATGAAAATCCACAATGAGTGAGCTGTCATGTTGTGTTTTGTTCTCCTCTACCAGCTTCTCACATTTAGTCCTTAAACATCTGACAGGTTCTCCATCTGCGGATCTGTTCTTTTACATCTGACTTTTCATCTCTGATAGCTCAGTCAACACAAACACAACCACACAAAAACAGCTGACAACTCATCCCCTTTAACATGCATCTTGAGGTTTTTTTATTTTAGTGCGCAAAATACAAAATGTAATCCTTATGTGTGAAGTATTAAAGGGATGGTTCAACATTTTGAGAAACACTCATAATCACATTTTTTGTCAGGAGTTAAATGAGAAGATTGAGTCTGTGCGCTAAATATGAAACAAGCAGGTGACTAGCTTAGCTTAGCATAAAGACAGCAGAAAGAACAGCTAACTGTTCTGTTCAAAGGTAAAGAAAAGTCTTCTTGCTAAGCTAAGCTAATCATCTGCTGACTGTATCTTCATATTAGGCATACAGGCAGGATGGTGTCGATCTTCTCATCTAATACTTAGCAAGAAAGCGAATAAGTGCATTTTAGAGTAGGAACTTGCTTTGACTATCAATTAATATGACGATTAGTTTTTTTTTTTGTTTTATGAATAAAATGTCATAAAATATTGAAAAATCCATGTTAGAATTTCCCAGAGCCCAAGCTGATGTCTTCAGTTTCAATTTAAATTGCTTGTATTATCTGACCACAGGTATTCAGTTTAATATCATATGAGAGAAAAAAGCATCAAATCCTCCTCTTTGTTTCAAAATATTTGTAGTTTAACTGACTTATTGTTTAGTGTATTTCCAAAAATACCAAACAGTTCCCTCATATTTTCAGATTAATGTTAAAATTCTACAGTTTGGGGGTAAAAAGAGAAATCCAGCTGTGTGTTGATGATAATAGACTGTTATGGCCGGATTCAAGGTGCACGTTAGGGCAAGGTGTAAAAGGGCCACTTGTCAGGAAGCCTGTCTTACGTAACTGTCATCGGCTGACAAGATTAAATTGCAAAAGCATGTTCAAGGGAATGGAAAAGTACTTCTCCACTTCTTTGAGAGGCCGGCTGATTGCTTCACTGGTGAAACTCTTAGTGCCTCTCTGCTCTATATTCATAAAACCTTCATATGAAGTCCACCCAACAAATATCAAACCAGCCAACTTTCAAATGTGCAATCAAACTCCTGCTTTTTCTTTGGCACCAAGTCACTCTGAGTAGGAGCTCCAGCCAAAAGCCTAAAATGAAAAACTGAAGTCAAAGAATGAAAAGTAGATCCTCTAAACGGCAAGTCCAGCACTTTGTGATTCGACGTCTGGTGCTTAATAACTCAACACAGGATATATGATGGTAAATGGTCATCACGTATCATCATGAAGAGTGCTGAGGGATTAGAAGTGGCTAGAACTGCAGCGATTTCCATTGCACTTCACTCTTAATGCCTCCGGTACCCAGCGCCCCCTCAGCTTCAGAACTTATAAATATTAACACTCGCAGTTTATTCTTCATCTACATACTCGTCTTCATCCTTACAGGCTATAATTCTTATGATATAATGCCCTCTAGTGGCAATATACTTTAAATATGTCTATAAATGAACTGCAGTATTTCAGATTCAACTCCGAGAGGCACGTCGGAGCGGAACAAACTGCCTCTCCTTCCCTCTGATCTATGACACAGGCACTGACATCAGCACACAACCATCCAATCACTCCCATTTCCTGTGCCATGAGGATGCCCATATATGGCCACTTTATGTCAAGGCATACCATAGCATGGACTCAAACCCAATAGCCACATTCATTACTACAGGGGTCATTCTGCCCCTTTTCCTCACCAGAACCTCTCATCACAAGGCCTGCAGTGAACCAAAAAAACCAAAATCATCATATACCAGCAGGCTCTGGCCATCTACAGTAAATCAATGGTTCTAATCAGAGCGCGATACACACACACTCACACACCACTGTTGTGACTATGGATATGTGTTATATGTTTCACAGGTGCCCTTGGATGGCCGAGGCCTTAAGACACACCTGTAGCTGTCACTATAGATGTAACAACATCAGGGGCAAGAGGATCCCAAAGCGGAGTGTACTGAGCTGTGCACTGAGGGTCTGGAGGGCCGGGAGACTGCTGGGAGCTGTGGACGGGAGAGCTTGTGGTGCCGACGTCCAGCTGGCAGTAAGAGCACTTAGGGCCGATGGAATCTGAAAACACACACACAGGCTTCATTCATGAGACAGTACATGATAATAAATAACAATTATAAGATATACATATATATTATATTGAACAATAAAAAAACAATATGAAACATTTGTTGGTTCCAACTTCTCAAAACTGCTGCTTTTCTTTGTCATACATGAGAGTAAACTGAATATCATTGAGTTTTGGAGTGTTAACTGAATAAGAAAAGCTACCTCAATATATCACTTTGTGGCTGGTTTGTGAAGTTTCATGACATAGTTTAATTTCAGCACAGCTAAGCCTGACTTAACTACCTGTGTCGAACTGAAATGTTGTATCTTCTCTTCAGATTACTGGCACTGTACAGAAATCTGCTTAGCCAAAATATTTTAACAGGTGCTGGTCAAAGCAGGGTATATTCAAGTCTAATCCAGTTATACAGTCAATTATCTACCACAACAATATGCTGGTCCATTTTGAGCCAGTGGCTTTAGAGATTGGTATAATCGTGTTTCTTTCTGCCAAAGATTTCTGACTATTTGAAATGTTGCAGCAGCAGTAGAGAACAGAACATATTCCTGCTATCTAGACTCCAGGTTAAATAAAGGTTAAAAAAAGAGGTGGATTTAGGAGGACTTGTGTGCGCCTAAATATAATCGGATTTGTCAAAAGACCTTGGTGAAGCTAGACTGTTCTGAGGGCTGAAAAACAAATTAAACAGTATTACAACACATGCAGGAGATTTGCACAAAACAAATGATATTCATCCATAGAAACTGGATGCTCTAAATGAATACATGGAATAATTTGGTTTTTATAATTGAGCAAAAACATATAGAATTTGTATCAGACAGTGAATGTGACAAACATTGAGAAATTAAGGGTTAATCCAAACGTTGCAATCTCATATTGTGCAGTTGTTTTAAAAACATATTATTAGTTTTTACTGGTGGACATATTCTCTGTACAGCGATACAATATAAAACCATGTCACACAGATTTAATAACATACGAGAGAGTGAACCTGAACTTTATTGGCAATCCATGCCCAAGGCTAATGAACTGGAGCTGACCCAGGTGTATATCACAACTTCAATGTGGTTAGTGAAAATGGCTTCAGGGGACCAGAATAATATACATATTGATCATTGTGAGCTAATAAAGAGCAGGATTCGCAGTGATAAATTACTAATGAAGCGTAAGCTATCGTCAGAGTCGGGGCTAAATGGTGGAGGCCATCGACCGCTTGAGTACCTGGTGAACTGTTTGCTGTCTTCATGAACCTCCATCTCTCGGCTCTTAAACTCATTCAGCTCCTTACGGATAGCAGCCTGAGGGGCAGAACACACACACACACACACACACACACACACACACACACACACACACACACACACACACACACACACATCAAATCAAAGCAAATAATCAACTATGTCTCTGAGGCTGATATCTAACGGTCTTTGAGGGCAGGCTTTGCTTCAGGGAACTGCCCACAATTCATAAAATAATGTTGTAATGTTGACAGTCCAAAATTTAAAACAGTGCTGGAAAGGACAAGGTCACATGTGTGAAGCAGCAAACATGTGTCTTGTTCTTTGTTCTCTCTCTTATGTAGATTTATTATTGTCTCTTACTATCAAACAACATAAATAATGATAGAAAGGGTTACTGCACCAAATAACTTGAACTGAAAAATAAGTCTCGCATTTTGACTGGTCATGGAAATCCCTCTCCCACAAAGAGCATGAAGTTCTGCCCCTTTCCTCACACTGCCTTTGTCTCGCCCTCTTGCACCCAGGCGCTCGTGCTGATTATGGAGGTGATGCAAATTCAAGTCCATGAGGGTTCAGTGTTTAGGATTTAGGGTGAGGGACATCGGCACTAGGGTGTGTGATTTCTCTGTGCTGTGTAGTTCTACACGTCAACAGCAGGGGGCAGGCTTGACACAGATAGTGTCCTCCAGCACAGCGTCGTGCAACATCCACTTCACGGTCCACAGTTTACTGTGTGTAATTTTGGTCTGGGGTTGTTTATCAGTGCTCTGCTAAGTTTGTGGCAACAGTTAAAGGCCTTTCCTGTTTCAACATGACAAGTTGCCTGTACACAAAGCAAAGTGCATTTTACAAAGAAGTGTAGTAACTGTTGTACCTTGTCAGCGGGAGTAAGCCGTGTCCAGGGTTTGTCTGCCCGCCGATCGTAATCCTTGGCGTCTGTTACTTCAACATACTCATTGAAACGCAGGATCCTTCGAGCAACAAGCTCTGCCACTGTAGGCCTCACACTCAACTACACACACGCGCACGCAAACACACACAACGTAAAAGAGGGAGATAAATTAGATCATAAACTTATATTTCAGGAGAAGCCAATGTTCTTCTTTTTAATTTGAAGTTATAATAAAATCTAACATACTGTCTATGCCTGTGCTCTTATGTTTCATTTTACTGTTGTGCCCTGTATTGATTAATGAATACATTTCCAGGAAGCCAGAGCTGGAGAGACAGAAAACGCCCAACTTCTCAGGAATGCTTTTCTCCTTCAGTTCCATCTCTGTCCACTAGATGGCCCATTTCACCACACAGAGCATCTTTTCTGCCTCCTAATGTGACTCATAAGGTGGAGCAAAACATATTAGCAGCTAAATATAGACTCGCTCTCTCCTTTCTGTACTCTCTTAAGTGTGTGTGTGTATGTGTGTGTAGCTGGTGTGTACAGTACCTTTCTGGAGAGTCTCCTTTTAATCTCTTGCTTGGCTTCTTGCTCCTCTGCTTCATTCTTTTCTGCATGTAGAGAACCAGCAGAGTCATTTCACACCTACTGTGACTGCAACAAGCTTCTGCTTCTATTTATAAGTGGGGGATGTGATTCACTACATTCAACCGTGTCCATGAATATGTAGCGGAGTAACTACCTTGACATTAACATAAACACACACATATATATATATATATATATATATATATATATACACACGCATATTTCTAAAGACTGAATGAATCATGTGAGTTGGATCTGTACTGAAAATACTCTTGTTGTGTCTTCGTGGATGTACATTATGTACAATACATGTGTGTAAATAACCAGTGAGTGACTTGGCCTGGGATGCTGGTAAACTCCTTGACCTCTAGTGTTCCCATCAGAGATCGAAATACAAGCCGTCTGGGATTGACAGCCCGGAGAGACCCAACTCTTCTTTTCCACAACCAGAACAAGCATGTAGAACTGTTTTTCTTATTTCTGTGCTTCTTCCTGAATGAAAAAGTCTTTGTGCCGGACACATCGGATATACTGAAGTTGCAAGTTGTGCAATAAGTTGCAAACCAACTTATTGCAAAATCTGAGAAAATGCAACAGTACACACCTCCAAACAAGTTTTTGCTCCAATTCTAACAAGGCACTTTAGCCTTCTTTATATCAGTAGATCTCTATCACTTTAACAGCCTCAAAGAACCGAGAGTGTCCACTCACACACTGTTTGGCAAAATGTTGAACTTAGTCGGATACAGTATTCACATATTTGTAGTCATGCTATACTGTTGCACCCGCGTTATGTTAAAATTAAACTTTTACAATTAAACTTATAGTAACTGTAGATATACCACCTACTTATTGGATTTTATTTTTATTTAATTTCCTATGTTAATAATTACTCAGTGTTATGCCACGAAAAAGCTGTTTGCTTAAAACTCTCTGAAATTAGTAGGTAATAAGTTAGCACAAAAAGTGAGCTAGCAAACCCTCCTGCAAAACAATTAGTACTGCTCGCATCACAAACTCATTTTATTGACCATTTGAAAGATTATATTTAATATTTATCAGAACTAGTGTGTGTGTGTGTGTGTGTGTGTGTCTTGTAAACAAAGCAGCCTAACTAGCTGACCTGAACTATCTTTTATCACAGTGGTGTACTGTGACTAAAGCAAAGAGAAGAAGAAGTGTGTCTGAACACGTTAGTTCAGTGTGGGAGACACGAAGCTTCCCACAGCTGGAGCGATGAAACACCACAATACCCATTTCCATGAACTCATATTGATTCTTCATGTTGTCATAGCTTGAAAATAATATAAATGATATTACTATTTAAGCCTCTGAACTTAAATAGTAATATATCAGTGGTGTATCACATCTCTCCCCAGTTTAAAAGTGTATTTCAGAAACTTACGCTTGAGGATGTTTCTCTGCTCCAGCTCCTCTGTGGTGGGTCTTTGGCTCAGGCGCCTGAAAAGACAAAAATGTGTTTCTCATACTTTTAACAAGCAGCAGAAAGCGAATGATTTAAACATTACACTGATTTCTACAGAAAACAACATGAATTATTATTTTACACTCTTTTTTTGTTGTTGATCCAACAGTTGTTTGCCACCATCCTTTCTGCCTCGTCTGGTAGAAAAGACCAAACTAAACTTCAGCACAGAATTTTACTGTGATTTGTACAAGTACACCGCCCACAACTACACCAAAAAATACTTAACATTCCCTGTTATTAGCCCACAGCTCTGCCAAATCTTTGATGAAAATTCACACCTTGCTACATTTTCACAACATGCTGAATGTGTGTGTGCATGTGTGTGTGTGTACCTGACTAGTTTGCAGCCGATCTGCTGGCGCAGCTCGTGTCTCTCTGTCTCAGAGCTCCGCGGCAGAATGTTTTTCTCCTCCAGCTCTTTCTTGCTGGGTCGGTTCCCAATCTTGATGTTCAGGGTGTCTCGTCGCCGGATCTTGCTGGCCAGAGAGCCTGGAACAGAAACGCAACCTGGTTCTCAGGGCCTTGAAACAACCTGCGTGGAGATCAGCTGCAGAGAACAATTAAGCATCAATGAAGAAAAATGACGCATCTGAAGATATACTGTATGCTACAAAAACAAAAAAAAAACAACAACATGGCATCTAGCTCCTATAGTAGTAGCAGATGGGACAGGTGCACTTGAATTACAAACCTTGGTTGCTGGGAGATTCTAGAATTCCCAAACGGCGACTGGAAGATTCTAGAACCTCCACACGGCTGCTGGGACATGCTTAGAAAACTCCCAAACAGCTGCTCTGAGATTCTGAAACTCTTGGAGGCTGCTGGGAGATTCTAGAACTCCCAAACTTGTTGGGAGATTCAAGAACGGGCCTGTCACACATCAACTATCATGACACCCTCAAAGTCACTTGTTTTTCCTGTTCCAATGCTCAGTTTGACTCATCCCTGGGTGAAACGCTGGGCTACCTGATTTGTTTATACCACAAACTGCAGGAGCACATGACTACTTAGTTGGAATGTACATACTGTGTGAAAGCACAGGAAGAATCTAATGTACTTCTTAATGAAGCACCTCATAAAGACAAATGTTAGCACAATGACTGCAGGTGGCATAACAACTTCTCTCCATTATTGTGTGATGTGTCACTAAGCTACTGCCATACTATTTGTGTACTCGTCTTCCTCCTCCTCTTCTTCCTCCTCATCTCGGTACAGGATTGGGCCGTCAGAGTCAGAGTCGCTAGTTTGGCTGTCTCTCGGCCTATCAGGGATCACTGTCACTTCGGCATTCTCCGTTTTCACACTCAGGCCCTGTGGCTTTTCAGTGTGGCCCTCTGATGACCTGCAGGAAACAAGAAATCATGAGCACATGCATTTGTTGAAGCAGAACAAGTCCTTGGATATCTACTAAATATTAATATTTACTCTATTGGACACAGTTCAATAAAATCACAGATTTACTGTCAACCAATCATTGCTTTAACCTACCTCTGTGTAGATATGTAATGTAGAAGCGTAAGCGACTGACATGCAGAGAAAGCGAACAGAAGGAAAGGTTTAAAAACTTGTATGTCCTAACTAGATTTTTACCTTGGGACGTTCTCCACAGCAGAATCCGTTTCCCCCTTCTTCTTTTCTTCCTCTCCTCCCTCTTCTCCCGTTCTCCCCAGTTTCTCCCCCTGCGAGCTGCTGTCTGTCTCGCCCTCAGTGAAGGAAGTGTCCTCTGTAGCAGTGTTGACATGGGGAGACTGGTCTGTGGGTTCAGGAGCCATACCTTTCCGAGTCTCCTCGTCCACAGTTGAGGCGTCGGGAGCAGATTGAGAAACAGCTCGACTTCCCTCTGTCTCATTGCCTGAGGCTTTATGTGAGGCAGGCTTGGAGTCTGAGGAAAGGGGCAAGGATTTTATCTCCCCAGGCTGGCTAGGAGTCTCTGCAGAGGCCTTTTGAGGTGCAGAGGAAGAGGTGGGAGTGTCTGATTTCCGGTTGGTCCTTGCATCCTTCCCATCAGTCTGCGCTGCAGTGCTAGCGTCCTTAGATGCACGAGAACGAGGGGTGGAGGCGGAGGCGTGGGTAGTTTTTGTTGCGCCTCCTGTCTTCTTTGGATGGGAGGATTTGGCTGAGGAGAAGAAGGAGCAAGAGAAAGTGAGAAGGGAAAGATAAAGAGTTTGACTTTTTCTTTCCCCCAGCTGATTCAGTTTCCTCCCACAGTCTGAGGACATGCAGAGCTACGTAAACAAAAACTCTCAGTTGTCTGTAGGTGTGAATGTGGTTCAGTCTATGCAAATGCATCGTCCTTACACTAGTATTTACTACAAAGTCCATCTTAAATCACATTTAGGCATCTCTTTTTGCAGTCAACATAATATCAACATGTTGTTTATGGATTTTTATATGAAAAGGAAAAAAACATAAAGACGTCTTTGGGGAAATTTTAAAAATGCCCCTTTTTGCCTCAGCTGGCTACTGGGGTGTGTTGGCGTCTGTGTTTCATTGACAGCCAGTGTTGGCAGATTGAGCGGTTTTTCGGATGCAATTAAAGCACGCCACAAGTGCAGCTGTTTGAGTCAAAAAAATCTGAGTCATAACAAATGCGAACACAGATGCAATACACGTATTTTTACATTCAGTGTGGGGATATCGTTATCACTGTCTGTCAAGAGTAAACAACCGTAAATTCACTTCAAATCAGTGAAAAAAGCTGCTCCTTATAACTGCAGAAGTTGCCTGAGAAACAAGTTTTCTTCAGGATCAAAGTCATCCAGTGATAGCTGTCAGTACATCCAAGGGTTCATTCCAAACAGGAACTACTAAAAGCAAATTCAGAGTAAATTTTCTAAAATATAAACAAATATAGGCTAAAAAAGTTGGAGTCCACAGTATAATTCAAGTTTGTTCATATATATATATATATATATATATATTTAATGCAACATTATCCAAAAGACAAAAAATTAATTATATTGATATCAAAAATGAAAAATTGAGCTACTTTTATACCATCATGAAACAAGAAAATATAAATTAAAAATCTATTTTATTTTTATTTTAAAAGCAGAAGATAGGGAAAGCGAGTTAACAAGCAGATGTGTATACTGCTGCAGAAAAAAAACACAGCTGGACTTAAAATAGTATGATCAACAGGGCTACACTTCATGATTCATTTCCTTACTTAATCCATTATCATTGGTTATTTTCCAAAATAATCTTTTGATTGTGCCATCAAACGACAGAAAATTGTAAACATGTCGATCATTATTTGCTGGAACACAAGATGATGTCCTCCGATTTATTTTTCTGTCCGGCCAACAGTCAAAAACTCACAGCTTAGTAAAAAAGTAAAAGTATTTACATTGACAATTCATGCCATTGAATAATAACAGCTGGAGCAATAAACTGCTCTATTAGAACATGCTGGCAGCCATAATATTTTATGACTAGAATAACCACTTTTAATCACATCTTTAAAACTGAGACAAATATAGAATACCTAAGGTAATACTGACTGAGGCAGTACTTTAAGTGTCTGTAAAGTGTCTTTGTGCGCTGGTAAAAGCAGCCTGAGGGACGGGATGAACTTAGAATGTTATTCAAACCCTAATGAAACAACTTTTGTACCATTTCTCTGATAACAACAGAAAAATACACAGAGCCCTTCAGCAAAGACTGCGTGAACATCACATGCAGTATTCTGGGCTCCCGTCTGTTTCCTTTACCATGCTGTAGGCACCACACACACGCGCGCGAGTGCGCGCACGCACGCACGCACGCACACACACACACACACACACACACACACACACAAGGGGTGGTGATCATGCCCTAGCATCATGCCGTCAGTCAAAAGCACATGAGGTTGTCAGAGCTCATTTTATATTTCATGAAAGCCATGCTACAAAAACCCCTCACGTGCTGTCTCACTCTCTCTCACTCTCTCTCTCATGCACACACACACTTGTAGTGTAGAGGCGTTTACAGAACTACACAAATAAATCTTCACTTCTGCTTTCTCAGAAAACAGACAGGGAGAGACCATAACTGCAACACTCCTACAGTTACTCACTTGACTGAAAATCCCTTCTAATGAGGAAAGGACACATCGAGAGGGAGAAACAGGGAAAAACTAGTTTGTAGGCACTTGACAGAAACTTGACCATCACTTCAAACACATGACGGAGCGCACATTAAGCCATGGTTTACAGTTGCAGACGGTTTCATAGTGAGTATTCTTTCTTTTCAAACAGTGATACAAGCACATTGTCCATGCAGGGAGGCAGGCAAGGCGAGAACAAGGGTCAGGCAAACTGTCTTCAGTCCCAACTCGCTGAACTTACCAATCCCACGACTAGTGGTGTTAGTGCTCCGCGGGTTAGCTTTAGCCTGAGTGGACGAGCCTGCCTTCCCTGTGGTTTTAGTTGTCTTTTTAGTCGCCAAGGTCCCCTCTCTGTGCCTGCTCGTGCCTGCGGTGCCACCCGCAGGTTTGGAAGAGGCGGGCAGAGTGGCACTTTGCTGCTTTTTAGACTGAACGTCTCGGGGTCGCACCTGGTTAGCCCGGGCGAGGGGTTTAGTATCACACCTCTCTGAGCAGAGCAGAGGAATCAGGAAGAAAATTTTAGAGGTTAAAACGGAGACTGAAAGCAAGACAAAAGATGCACATCTGTCCAATGGACATGCACACAAACAAACAAAGACAGAAGACATAATGAAAGATAAAGAGCGAGTTGGAAAGACCGAATGATGATGATGTTTAATCTATAGTCTTGTACATCTTTTCCATAAGATTAACAGATAAAATGAACCCATTAACCTTCCAAACCTCCAGTAGGATGGTATGTGTGCACCGTTACTGTATTTGCAGTGTTTGTTACCTGTGCCTTTCTGATTATTGATAAATGAACAAACAAATGGCTCTGAGTTCAATGCTAACAGGGTTGAGATGAAAACAGCACAACACTTAAGCAGCATCAGAGGGAAGAACAGTGGCTTGTCTCCTGGGGGAGAGGGAGGCATTAGGAGATGGAGCTTCTGCTCTGTTCAGACTGTGATCGCCTGCTGCAGGCTGATATAATGGGAATATCTATTTGAACACATTAGGCCCGGTCAGAGATCCCACAGAGGATTCAATGTCAGGCAGAAAACTGCTGCCGATACAAATGCATTCCACGACCAGGAGTCAAAGATTTCAAAGCAACCGACGTCTAAAAAAAGCTACAACATTTAGTTCTAGCATATAAAAATAGAATCGCTAAAGGGCTGTAAAAAGTCCCACATTCCTGAGGAACATGACATGTTTGGAAGAGTGAAACCACATTGATCAATCTAACATTTAGTAGCCGCTTGGCTGTCAAGGATGTTTTTCCTTGTATGTGCTCATCGGCACACAACACAACATTATTCTACAGTGTCTCACCTCTGTGGATGAGACCATCTTTATTTACCAAAATAAACTAGAACCACGACATCCTGAAAAACGTGTCTACAAATAAGCACTGGAATATATTTATCTAATCAAACTGATTTAGGGAGTACCTTGGAGAGAAAACCTTTCTCTTATCTTTTTTTTTTCATTTGCCATATTTTTTCCTTATTTCCTTCTCTGTGCAGAAATTTCTTCATGTGAACATCTGTGAGAAGCTATTATCCCTGCTCTAAAGCCTCAGTTGATGCAGAGATGCCAGTGTTGAGGATCCAGTTATCTCTAGAGTACAGGTCACAGTAGGACAAGAGCTCATGTTAGACACAGCTACTGATGTAGAAGTTACCTGTTTTGTCCTCAGTGCTGACGGGTCCGCTGGCCTGTTCCTCCTGCAGTGTTTCTGGAGACTCAATGTCAACCTTGACCTCCTCTGATGTCACACTGGATGTGGCGTGGCCGTTGAGATTTTCACTGCCGACTGGCTCGTCTAGAAGAGAAAAGAAGAACAGTTACCGTAACTGAAATCCACTAATTCACTAATATTCAGTTGCTCTGAAGCAGAGCTCAAATTTGTATTTTAAGCTGCTGCTGCTGTTACTGGCATTGCTACAGACAAATGGAATTGCATTTCACTGGACATGGTATCTTTAGTGTATATGAAACATTTGAAGTGTGAAGGACACTGAGACAGAAAGACAAATATATGTAGTTGATGAAAAATAAATCATTAAAGAAGCGGTTGAGATGTCAGATCTCACAAATGACAAAGTTTCCATCTGGGTTTTTTAAGTGACTTGGGTTCTGAGTTCTAATTACAGCTCTATCACCGGCCAATCACGGTCATGTTGAGCGCTGGACGGCTTCATCATTTCCCTCTTTTTATTTTTATTCCCAAAGTAATTAATGTCTGAGATTTTGCGCAATCAGACAAACCTTGGTCAGGGATGAGAACTCCTTTTCTGATGAGCTCCTCCCTCGTTTGTCTGGTGGAGATTTTTCTCTCTAGAACTGAAAGATGAACAAGTTCAAGGTCAATGTCTGATTCAACAGGGAAATTCTACTTGGTGTTCCTTTATCTAGTCTTCTGCAGCAATGAATTTACACAGAAATCTGCGAAAGCATTGCACAACAGCCACACCATGATCCTCCTCTTATTGCGAAAGCATCGTTGCCCCCCCCCCAGGAGGAACTAAGCCGATTCTGTCATAGTGCTGCAACCTCACATCATCATCACCTAATGAGCACGGTCACAGTTGACTACACAATTAGAGCTGAAAATATTAATCAATAATATCAATAATCAATCGGTGAACCGACAAAAAGCTAATGGACTGATCATTTTTCAAGCAAAAACATTAAACATTGTCTGATGTCAACCTCTCAAACATGAGGATTTGCTGCTTTTCTTCATTACGTTTGACAGAAAACTGAATATCTAAACTGAATGAATTTGAAGACACTGCCTTTGGTCCTGGGGGATTATTATGAACCTTTTCACTTAATTTGGCTTGATTGTCAAAAAAAGATGCTCCAAGCAAAGTTAAATTCTCTGAATGTCCATGTTTGTTTTCTCTTCAAAATACATGGTTTAAATAACTGGGCTCAAAATCAAGATTCACATTCTTTTTTATTTTTAAATTGCATTTGTATAAAGTTATGCCACCGTCCATTTACCACTGTTTTATACCTTTAAATAACAAGGGATTACTGGGGATCAAAATCAAGGAGATAACACCTGAGCAGACTACATCAGTGGAAGATAATCAAGAGGAGAAAATACTGATATGACCTCCATGAAAAAGATTAAATGGACTCCATAACATATCGACTGCAAGTGCAGATGTAGTAAGGCTCCAGGGATGATGCACTCTAGCTGCTCCTGACCTCTGACATCCAAAAACTGAACTCCTCAAAAGAGGAGCTTGACACAATGATCGATGAAGTATTACACAAAAAGAACTACAACCAAAATGCTAATGGCTAAAGTTTCCCTCCCACTTAGTGTGTTATACCGACTCTGCTTTTTCTCCAACATGTTTTCTGCTTCACACCAGCACAGAAGCCTGAAATCCACTTGCAGGACATGGAGGTATGAAGCATACATACAGCTACATAATGGAGAGAGGCTCACCACACCTGGCAACCGTAAAGAAACAGTCTCTGCTTTCTGTATTTGTTTCTGTTCCTTTTTATTTCCACGTCGGCGCTTCAGGAATGAATTAGTGAAACCAAAGCATTCACTCTTTTCCTTTTACAGCTCTTCTGGGAGCAACGTTGCTCCTGTTCACACTTAATGTTCAGCACAAATACAAAAATGTAAGCCATGATGTTGCACAGACGGTCAATTGAGGAGAGCAAATCAGAGGCCTCCCGTCAACCTGTTCGTACAATGACATTAAAATACAACCCACACGCAAGACGTCTCACCTTTGGAAAGATCCTGGAACTTGTCACTGGTCTTCTTCTTCCTCCACTTCCAGGGTTTGAACAGCTTTCCCAGTGACGACAGCTTGCCTCGCTGCTGCCGTGATGCAGGGGCATTCTGGGTATTGGTGGCGCTGTCCACCACCACGTCACAGCTGGCCAGCGATGATGATTTCTCCAACCCATCGACTGGAAGACACACAAATACAAAACAATACAACATCAGAGTAAGCAACAGCTGAAAAGGCAGAGAAGTATCGTCATAAAGCATAATGTTGACATATGTCAGTCCCACTCTACAACTCTTTCATTGTCAAAGTGGGAATATTTCTAACTCTGTCTCTGTACAGTATTTGCAGTGTGTGTTCTCATGTGTGTGTTGGCTAGATCCCTGTCCTTCCACAACTCCTCCTCTTCCTGTTGAAAGATTAGAGGTGCTGTGAACCTTCTGGAAAACGGCAGAGTGTGTGTGTGTGTGTGTGTGTGTGTGTGTGTGTGTGTGTGTGTGTGTACCATACTGGAATCTTACAGAGGAAAGAGAGGTGGTGTGTGATTCCTCAGATTCAAGCTGAGGGGGGTTTTTGTTTTTGCAGCCACATAACACTGCTGAATCACTCACGCCTCCTGAGTGTATGGAGCCCAGCAGGGATCAAAAGTTTACGCAAACTTAAATGATTTTTTTCCATGAATCATATTATTTGTGATCTTGAAGTAGTTAATCCATTCCCCCAAAGGAATGTCAAGTTTTAAGCCGTTTTCAGAGAAGACACTTGAGACACATTACTGTCAGCTCACTTGTTTCTAATTCCACATCCGTTTTGATGATTTCTTTCACTTTCAAACTCTTCAGCCCAAAACAACGCCGACTCAAGTGACATCACACGAGGCAATTTAGCAGATTTCACCACAAAAGGCTTTATACAAATTTTTCACATATGCATCGGTGTAACAGACTCAACAAACACCCCCATTTTCGTGCACAAGCCCAAAAATAAAATGTAAAATTTTGTTGTTTGGTTTTTTGCCTCACCCATCAAAAGTGGAATATAAGGACTGTACTAATACCATTGTGAGGGAAACACTTGGGAGCCATAGCCTCAAGTCTGAACCAATTACAACAGCACGACAGCTGTTGCAGTGATGATCCTGAAATTCTTTGCTCAGATGGAATCAGGAGACTTGGAGCTTTTGAATGACGTATAATTTGTCAAGGTTGTGTCTGTGTGCAGACCAAAACACCTGAAGTTGCGCTAACGAGGCCAAAGCGTCACATGGATGGGACTGTGCATCTAAAAAGGTTTAGTTATAACATTCATTCCAGTTTTGCCCCCCCCCCCAAATCTCTCTCTCACACAGTTTTGACAGAAACACAATAAAAGGTTGGTAGAAGTAGCAACTAAGTCAGCAAAAATCTCCCAGATTTCCCATTGACCAACGCTGGAATTATTAGTGAGATAAACTTTTCCACATTGATGACTCAACTATTGTTTGAAGGCTGAATAAAGACAATGCAGCTGAATTCCAGGAAATTAAAAAAATAAAAAACAACTCATCTGTAACATTTTCTCTGGTGGAGCAAATCCATATTCTAACCTTCAGCTCAATGAAAAACAGTCAGCTCCCAGCTGATTGGTCGGCTCTCATCAGTGCTGACAGACTGTTGATGCCAATACTAGATGTTGATAGCCATCTGGCGCTCAATACGCCTGAGTGATGGGAATGAAACTGATGAGTGTAAACTGCCTCTGACTGCTGCTTACTGGTGACGGCGGATCAATGTAAGAGCAAAGTGTATTATATCAGATATAAAGATGAAGTTAAAGGCCCTGAAAGCTAATTTTCTCAATCATCTTCTTACTATGAGTTAGAACAGTTTTTCAGTTATTATTATCGATAAGGTTGGCTGAGTTAGATAAAGATGATGTCACATATCCATGCACCAATCAGGATTTACCATGTGAATCAAAATCTGATGATTGTTGCTTATTTAATCATGAAATCTGAACATTATAGAGTAATACTTAAGATTTAAAGCCAAGCTTTTGGGCCTTTAAATCATTTGGTGGCCTGCAGAAGAGTTAAATTGGACAAAGTAGGATTATTATGTCAAGAACCAGATGTCTCCACAGCCTGAACTATAAAGTGGGGTTCCAATAATGAAAAGCAATTGTGCTCTGTAAAACACAGCAAGACATAAAAACCATGCAGGTATGATTGCTCCCAGCCAGACTCTGCTCACCTTATGACCCTGACCCATGTACGTACACAACATGGCAATTAAGAGCACAAAAACCAAGAGAGAAGACAGGGAAGACTGCAGTGCAGAGCCCAGTACATGATCTCCCCAGACACTCATTTAGCTCTCTCTCTCGCACACACATATACATCCACACACACACAAACACACACTCTCTCACTTACTCATTTCCTGTTCCTGTGTTGATATCAAATCACAACAATAGGTGCATTTCAGCAGCTGCTTTGTGCTGCTAATGATGGGAAAATCAGTAACAGCAATTATCATCACCATTAGTCCAACTATTAAAACCTCTAGTGGGAACCAAATAGGGACAATGATCCAACTTATTACGTGCAGAGAACCGAGGAGAGAAAGAAGAGAAAGCGAAAGAGTGAAGAGGAGCAAGGGAAGGATTATTGTTAACTTTAGAGAGCACGGTTCTCTAAACACACTTCTCTTTGTGAAAGTACCGAGAGTGAATAGGTACTTTAAGAAAAAGGGAAGATTTGATTTGAGACTCGTGTGTGTCACATAGCAATACAGGAAATGGATATTTGAGTACACTTACATTCCTTTGTCGCACACATGCAGTTCACCAGACATTCACAATGAGCGTGTTCAGTTGCAAAAATCTCACAAATCAACTTTTGTGAGTCAGTAAATTACATGTGCAGCCACTTTATTACACCGTTAATTGATCCCAGTCCCGTTCTGCAGCATTCATTACGTCAGAGGTTATTTTCGGGGTTTTTTTTCCCCCCAAAGAAAATCCAGTACTCCTGTCCACTAGACCTCTGGTTCCCATAATGGGGTGTCAAGAGGATAGGCCGAGGGTGCTGCAAGATTTGTTCATTTCCATTATTCTAATGTACATTTAAATAGCTTTTCATTATAGAACGTTTGCAACATTTCTATGTAAAATGTCAAAACATGTGTGCTAATTTTACTTTTGAAGAAAACAAAGGAAATACATTAACTAAGTAGTATACCTAATTTAATCAATTGTTAATATGAATAAGTTCAATAGTGACTCTGCACCACCACAGACCTATTTTAATTCACTTCATTTTTATGTCATGGTAGGGTAAGGGTGAGCAAACAGGCAGCTTCATGGTCATCCACCCAAACTCCAACTCACCACTTCACACCTCTGACATAGAATCCTGTCAGCAACAGCGGAAGTAACAGCATGAACCACCATCCGTAAACAGCTACAGAATTTAATATAGCTTCACCTCAAAGCCTTCCGAAACACAAACTTGTACAGTATGACGAATGGAATTAGATATGGATGTAAGATGTAAGCCCTAAGGACAATTGTTCATTTATTAATCTGCTGATTACAACAATGGTAAGTATTATGTGGATAAGCAAACCTCAGTCAATTGAATCACATTCAAATCCATCCATTTCACACAGGAACTGCGAAAGGTTGCAGTTTTTTTTTGTTTTTTTTTTAACACAGCAGTCCTGCAAGAGCGATCCGTCCAAGAAAAGCATTGGATTTTTACCAAAATAATATTGACTACAGCTTTTTAATTACACCGATGTGGCTCGAATCCACCTCGACTTTACTCTGGGATGTTGTTACACAAAACAAATGCTGACTCGACTCCATGATTCCACACTGGATTTCATAGCAAGGCGTATTATTTTGCAACAGATGACTCGATCGCGATATCATGCTACAGGGGCGAGTTGGGATTTGGATATGAAGCAGCTGTGGAAGTGGGTGGAATAATCAGAAACACAACTTGAGACACAGCAGACATCTGAATGAATAAATAACACGCAGGATTTGTTCAGTCAGCTGTAATTATTGTGCCAAGACGCACATGCCGATGATGTTAGAGTCATACTCAATTTGTATGTAATCCTGTATGTTGAACTGGTTTAACCGCCGTTCAGCCTGGCAGTTATATTCATGTTTTCAATGGCATTATATGGCATATATTGTCTGGCACAACATCACAGGGTTTAAGTGGCAATGTACTGTGACAAAGCTGCCAGCATGTTTTTTTTTTCAGACCTTATAGCAGGAACATGTGTTGAGGAGGAGGGGGAAAGGGAGAGGCTTCCTTCCTTCACTACAAGTCACCGGGGAGGGAAGAACCAGACATCACGAACAGAGGAAGAGGGATGGAGGGGGAGAGAGAGGCAAAGAGAGACAAAAGAGGGGAGAAGAGAAAGAGGGGGAGAGGTGGAAACTGAGGTGGGGGGGGGACGACGACATGGGAAATAGGAGGGCAGAAAAGGGGGAAGGAAAGGAGAAGAAAAGAGGGCAACAAGAGGTGTTGGACGAGAGCGGAGGGAGGGGTGACGCTGGGCATTAGCTCCAGTTTTAACACTTGGGTCATTTCTTCCAAATCTTTCTCCAATGTAGGACAGAGAAGCACATTACAGCCTAACTCATGATTCTCACAGGACCAAGCAGCTTGGATTAAGTCAAGAGTAACAGACCTAAAAGAAATCAAACAGGAAACCACAGCTTTACAGTATTTTAACATACGCTAATAACTCGTCAAGGCTCACAGGATATCCATTTAATGTTATGGTTTTTCACTAAGACCCTGACAGAATCACTTCCCCCTCCTGCTCTTAGTACTGTAGATTCAGCATTTAAAGCACATCACATTGTCATTATGTAATCCATAATGCAGCCAAATGCAGACGATATGCATCATTATTATTGCCTCAGGTTCCTAAGCATGTTGGACTAAGTGCTCCACTAAACAGTTTGGGTTTTACTCTAAATGCTGACAGTGTCATAAAAAAGGTCCAGTTTTGTTTTCATCCGGTGTCCTTCGTCCCTTCCTGCACCTCACGACCTTAAAGCCTTCCCATAAAAAATGTGAACCAATGTGAAATGTTTACAGACAGACCGACCATGCAAAGCATGCAAAAATGATTTTTAAGCATGGAGGTATAGCATCTCCTGATCCCCTGAAGGTTATGTATTATAGTTAATGTCACTCTGTAACTGAAACTTGATTAATATGCCACTTATTTTCTCTAGTAATGATTTTTCTATACAATATCAGAATACAGTGAAAAGTGTCCATCATAATCTCTAAGAAGCCACGCTGACGGGTTCAGATTTCACCAAACAACAATCCAACATCCCAATATAATCAATTTTCTCTCATAGCTCCAGCTTCATTATCAGTGGAGTTCTCTAAAGAAGTAAAGTTCTGAAAAAGATCATGATACATCCAGTTTAGGAGCTAGCAATTTAAGTTGAAGGCTTTGTAACTGTTATCCAAACACCTGAGTGAGTTTATGTTGTTTGAGTAAGAGCTACAACCCCATTAATCGATGAATTGATTAGTTCATTTACAGAAAATTAGCATCAGGATCAGTTTTCATAATTGAATAATCATTTTAATCAAGCGAAACCGCAAAACCTTTGTTGGTTCCAGCTTCTCAAATATGAGGATTTGATGCTTTTCTTTATGGTATATGACAAAGCTACTCATTATAAAGGTCCCTTTTCACTATTTTTTGACAGTTAATCGATAATCAATAATGAAAGTACTCATTATTTGCAGCTCTAGTGAAAATTAACATCAATGTAGAGAACTTACACTGTTTTAACCATGTACAACTTCACAGACTTTGTGTTAAGATGGCTTCAGTGATGTTGTCAATAATCAGAAATCTGGCAAATGAAAGCAAGAACAAACTAGAGGGGCACTCATGGAGCACAGACCTCCACCAAGGCCAATGTCAAACAACCTCCACCGGACTTCAGAGAAAGAAAATTCATATTCACAGTAAATGATCGAGATCTGCCGAAAATGTAATTGGTTCTTCCCTGGTCCATACCTGACCCCTCCAACAAGTTCAATGCAAAAAGTGAGTAATCCTGCTGACAAATAAAAAGACACAGATGAAAACATAACCTCCCTGGAGGAACTGATATATGGAGAAACACAACACATGCAGATCCTTCCACACAGGGCCAGAGCGAACTCAAAGCAGTCGTACAGGATCTTTGTTTAAATAAAATACAGTCTAAAAAGGAACTAAATTTAGATTTAAATCTGGCAATATCTTACTAAAGGAAAAGTAAACAAGAGAAAGAACCTGATTAAGAACTGAGGTACTGACGTTTATTAGCCTTATACATGGCAGAGGAGCTCACTGCAGGGTTTGATGAGTATGATAATGATGTGAATCATATGCCATTACCTCCACTGTCACCAGATGTCAGTCTACCTCCACACTTTTGGGAGATTTAGGAGCAAACTTGTTAGACAGCGGACGCCACCACCATCATCAAAACACCAAAGGAGGTGATATATTCTAGAGAAATGATGTCCATCCCTCCAAAGACTATTTGAAGCTGGTCTTACTAAGACTCTTTGAGCTGGGTTTTACTTTATTTTTCACTCATCTCTAAACTCAAACAGTTGAAGCAATGCTTCATAGTCATGTAGTGCGTATTGAATTGCTGGTTTTTGATTGCGCCAGGTGGTAATTAGCTTTGTACTGCAGGTGTGTGAAACAGCCCTTGATTCACCAGTGAGAATCAAACCTGCGAGGTCCTCAGTCCCAGGAGCTGAGATTAAGAATATGTTCAAAAGGATGTGGTTGTTTTTATATTGGAGAAGTTTATTTTCAGAGCCTTATGTGAAAAAACACAAGGAAAACCCACATAGAGATAAAACTGCGACAACTGGACTTGGAACTATTAGTCCATTGGTCAATCGACAGAAAGTAATTGGAAGCTATTTTCACAATCAATTCATCTCTGAAGTTTCATTTATCTTTTTTGGTTTGAACTGTTGGTTCAAACAAACTGATGACAGCATCTTGTGCCCCAGGAAACTGTGATAGGCATTTTTCTGACATTGATAGACCAAATGTTCACTCAATGAATCGAGAAAGTTATCAGCAGATTCATCTATTAGCGTAATGACAACAGTCATTAGTTGCACATGTAGTGCGAACTCCATTCTCTCTTCTACTTGGACGGAAAGGCTCTGCCTCTGTCAAAGCTCAACTGTAAGTGAGGAAATTTCCGGTTAAGCCTCGACAAAGATGGTAGGCCCACTTGTTGACTCATGACATGATGTTGTCTTGATTCAACAGATTCCTGACTGTGAATTAAACGTAAATCTACATGGATATAACTGAGCTAGACAGTCTTCAGATGTTTCCTCTGGTCAATCTCTGGACTCCTCTGAGAAAACTAATTGGTGGAAAACTCAGCTGCTCTCATTCAGTTCATCTGGACCCATGTCAAACCGGCTGCTAAAGCACATAAACTCACACCAAACATTGAACTTCATTACCCGGCGGCTACAATGCAGCTTTATAAACAACTCTGTGGTTATACAACACATCCTCTCAAACTGTTGCCTGCTTTAACACTGGCTGTTTCACTGTGTTTGTGTCACCCAGCCAGCGAGGGCTTTAGAAACACCGTCCTGTAATGATGCAAGAGCGTTTGAATTCATTTACCACACATGTAGTTCACCAACTTCCCATTAACAGGAAAAAATGAAGCGCTTTGTTTGAGTTCAACTGTGTATAAGTTTCGATACATTAACCGACATAGTTGTTAAAGAAAGAAAGTAAGAATGAGCAGACTTCCTGAGTAAAGATAGCGGAATTTGTGTGAGAGAGAGAGAGACAAGAGGGAGGGAGACTGCACGTATACACACATATACACACATATACACACACACACACACACACACACTCACCGCTTGCGGTCTGGGACACGGCGGACACAGCAGTCTGACCCATATTCAACTTCTCCGGAGCACCGGGCCGGACCGGGCCCCCGAACCCGCGATCACGGCCTTCTATCGCCGCATAAATCCCGTCCGCGGCCGCCGAGTGTGTTCATTTCAAAAAAAAAAAAAGTTTCACACCGTGATGGCTGAGTCTCTGGAAACTTGGTTCACTGACTGACTAGGTCGCTACTACGTCGTAACTTCCCCTCCCACCTCCTCCTCCTGCTCCTCCTCCACCACCACCACCACCTCCTGTGAGCAGCTGAAGAATGCCTCTCATTCCTCTATGCAGATTAGAGGCGCTGCTGGGGTCAAAGGGTGAAGGGGTCCGACACCCTCAGTCACCAGTTTACACTGGCCGAGATAATGGGCATAATGGGCGGCAAGGGCTGCAAGAGCGGGAAAGTTTAAAACAGTGAAAACACTCACTGTGAGAAAAACAGTCCCGATGAATGATGTAGGGTTAGATAGATATCTTAAATTAACAAAAGTAGAAAGTAGCTACGAACATGGCTGCATTAACCTCCTGAGGGGCAAACATTTGTTGTTGGACCCCTGTTGCCCCCCACTATACATGGCAGTGTCATTATTTACCCAGACACCCAGAAACCACCCATAGGCTAGTTGATTAATCGATAAATTGATTGACAGAAAATTATTTCATTTTTTACACTGAAACGGTAAAAATTCTCTGGTATCAACTTCCCAAATGTGAATATTTGCTATATATTGTCTGTTTTCTCTGGCAGCCTGGTTGCAGCCTTACAGATCTCCTATGATGGAATAATATGACCTTGCATGAGGTTTTAAATTATGTAGACCCAAATTATAACTAGTAAACCCGGGGCTTTTTGGGCATCAAGTGATCTGGGGCCCAGAAAACCCCAGATCCCCTAGGCCCCCTGGGCAGTTGCCTGCTTTGCCCAGTTGGTCCAACCTTGGCTAACGACTGGACTTGTGTTTTGATCTGCATACTTTATGACACTATATTTATTTGACAAATATAGATTTTAGTTACTGCAGAGATTCATATTTTACAATAAAAATATTCCACAAGTTTATAGAATATAAGACATGTTAAGATTACTCCAGTGGTTTCCAACCATGTGGCTTGTGACCCCTTACAGAGAGTGTCTGGGGGCCCTTTGCCATGTTTCAGATTTCCCCTCTGAACTTCTCTGATGGTTTTATTTAACTGTTTGACGTCCAAAGAGGTCAAATGATACATTTTATCATTAAAAAGCAAAGATTATAAAAATAGCCCAAATAATATAAACATATGTTTGTATGACCCCGCAAATTTATCTGGTGACCTTTAGGAGGGGCCTGACCCCAGGACTTGAAACTACTGGATGAAACTACTTTTACTAGAAATTGAGTATTTTTACATTATCTTTTACGTTTACATAAGGAAAGGATCTGAGTAGTTCTTCCATCACTATAAATTAATTTCTAAAAGCCTTTAAAGAGGACATATACGGGTGTGTGTGCAAAACATAGACTATACAGACTGTGGTAGAGATCTGCTCATGTCTTGATATCACAGAGATCCACAAATAGACCTGACTGTTGATCTGTTGAAGCAGGGGGGAGATAAGAATGGATGGTGGGGTGATGATAAGTGGTATGGTATGGTGCAGTGCTAAAACAACTGAAGTCGATTAGCAGCTAATGACTATTCTCATTATTGATTTATCTGCACATTATTTTCTTTATTTTGCCTAATATTTCATCAAATTATCTTTAATGATCTTAAAGAACTGGAAAGAAAGTAAGAAAGTGGAAACTCTTACATTTGGTTTCAGTGTGACACAATATATTTAGCTTAGAGTCCGTAATTAAATACTTTTAGGGTCTGGTCAGTGTCTGTGGCTGCGGTGGAGTGTCAGTATTTATCAATTTATCAGTATTCAGATTTATTTTGAAAAAACAAAATGACAGTCCAGCTTTGAGTGGGTCAAATGGGGGCAAAATCTGTCAAGGTTTGTCAGCATGGCCATTAGATGCTTCGTTAATAGGACACAGAAATAATATCTGTTTAATATTAGACACATGAACTCGAATCACTTCTCACTGACAACTGTGGCAAACCAAGAGATACAGTCCCGCCACAGAACGACTGTAGACTGTATCATAGAATAGTGTGTGTGTGTGTGTGTGTGTGTGTGTGTGTGTGTGTGTGTGTGTGTGTGCTTTCTGTCAGGCTGGGTTCTGCATGGTCTCAACTGACACTGTTGACAGTGATGACAGATAAAGCTCTCCCTCTCCATTTCTCTCTCTCTCTCTCTCTCTCTCTCTCTCTCTCTCTCTCACACACACACACACACACACACACACACAATGTGACATTCAAAGCCAATACTGCCATCTGGTGTTAACTACTAGACTGAAATTTTGCATTTGATATAGGAAGACTACTGATGATTTGTCATTACCCAGTTCCTCTTCACTATTATATACTACTATATATAATTACAGCACATTATTGATAAGGGTTGCTGCAATAGCGAAAATAAAGCTAGCAGTGAACTCTGAACAAAACACTCGTGCAGCAGTGTGGGCAGACTGAAGTTTTCCATGGCCTTATTCACCCCCTTTTAATGCAGCCACCTGACTCATCTACAATCAGTCAACAATGTCATATGACTGGCTGCATTTGGTTTTTTTTTTGTTTTGTTTTGCATGCACACTTTAAATCTTCTCATCCCAGTGTGATTTGCAAGATCCTACATCTGACATCATTAAACATGTATATATTGAGTATGAGTCATTAGGCCGTTTCAGAGCCACATTCACACCTGGGAGCTGCCGGGATAACTGCAGTCTTACGGGACCGTCATTAGTGAGTAAAATGGAACTGGATAAACGGAGACAGGAAGGAAGTCTGCGAAGAGGTGGAAGGATAAAGACAGGATGGAAGTAAAGTTAACAGAGGAAGGTGACAGCGTTAGCATTGACAGAGAGGTAATGTCATTAACAGCATTATCAGCAAAGCATGTTGAATATGTTACATGTGTTAAAGAGACAATAAGCACAGTGGAAAATACTGTGGTGATGAATTAATATCCCAGTACCGTTGATGCTCGGTGAATTTACAAAACCCAACAATTAGTCTTCCACATAGTATTGATGGGTGATGATGGTGATGCTGTTTTAACAATGACCAGCTTTATACTATGCTTTCATAGTATGTCAGCTTGTGTGGTGGGTTTTAGTCCCTATGTTTTACATATTTCATTTTGTTTTACGTATCTTATTGTGAAATTTTTCCTTTCACTTTACAGTCCACACCAAAAAAAGAAATAAAAAAATTCTCCTTATGACACACCATATCCTCACTGATCCACTTCACTATTACACATACTGAAACACAGGCCCCTTAACCCACGGCAACACAACACGACCCTACCTGACCCAATTAGACTGAATATAAATTGAGCCCAACCTTTATTCTACTCCAAGCCCACGCACAAATAATCCTCATGACATCATCACAGTAATTTGAGTGAATAAAAAAGACATTATACAGCTGTTTTCACAAGCTCAGTAGTACTCTCCCTGACGAGTAAACTGACCTTCATGTTCCACAAGTTTGTCAATTTGAATCCCACTACCTATTTTCCATGCATTCAGTATTCACTGTATTTATTGTAGTCACTATATGATATGACCAAAAGTGAATGTGTGTACATGGGAAACTTTATCATATAATAATATGTTTGATTGTGATCTTTCCTTTGGGAACTCGTGGTCACAAACTCACAATTGACCCTTTTGGCTGCTGCTTTATTTCCCTCCGTCAATGCCTGATCAAACAAATGCAGGGAAAAGTTCCCTCTGGATTTAGCTTAGATCAATTTGATACTTTTCTGTAAATCTGGACAAGAATACAATATCCAAAACGTAGATCTTTGGGAAAATCCTCAAAGTCAAGAGGACATCTCATTGAGAACGGGAATTTATAGGCGAAGGTGACAATTTTCAGGAACCAGTTCCTGTTTGTCCTGACACTAAATAACTGAGATCACTTGAGGGTGCCTGACCTTTTCTTTGACCAGAAAAACAAAAGGAAGGACAGGGGAGGAGGAGGAGAAGAAGGGCCTGAGGAAAGGGAAGGAGTCATCAAATATTAAGTAGTAGCCTCAGCGGAACAAGGGGGTAATAATTGTTTAAGTGCTACTTTTCAAAGCCTTTCTCCCCTCCCCTTGATTTATTTATTAAACTCAGTTTCTGCCAGGGTACAGTCTCATAATATTGTCATAGCCAAAGTTCAAGGAACCTATGTGCATGTGTGTGTGTCATTTGGGCTGAAATGATTTTGTGCATCTATGACCGTCTTGAAAAGAAAGGAGCACTTTCCTTAGACAAGCCCATCTCACAGTTATGCGTAGTTGCACAATCTCTTTACATGCATGCTGGTTTAAGAGTGAGGCGTGACACCTGTGGCTCTTAATGCATGTTACAGAGCAGCTAACCATTTCAATTGTCGGGAAGCAGACATCTCTGCATCAGGATCGTGATTCAGACCACAAACTGTCATAACAGTCAAGTGTGACTCAGTAAGGAACAGGCTCAGTTACACAAGCAAACTGAGCTCAGCTGAGACCAACTGTACTTAAATGGTCTCAGTACACAACCAGTGGAATCTCATCACAGCACTGTGGGCTGTCATTGGTCCAAATCATTCTCTATCAAATGCATATGATTAGGAACATTTTCAGTATATTGCAGGTCATTGTTGGCATTGTTAGTGTCGTGTAAAGTGCACCGACCATGCTGTCAGTGTATGTGTGAGGGTTCCTTCATTAGCAGATCTCTCTGTAGGATTATGAACATCAAACTTTCTTTCTCCATCAGCTTTTTACTGTAGACAAGTTTCCCTCAAAATTAAATGCAAATCTTACCAGAATTTCCAGAAGATCAGCAAAAGAAATTCCAAATAAATGCTCATTTCCATCGATGAAGACTTCTGTAGCCACGTTTTCTAGGGTTTTGATTTTATCCCAAACTACCTCTGCTCTCAATAGGTCTGACTTTCTCTTGGTGTTTTTGCTGTGTAGCCACCAAATGTAAATCACTGACTGACATTTATCGCTCACCTGTGTGGGCTTGAAATTGCTTTGAGAATAAATTGCAATGCTTGTGGCTT